GTCTGCATAAGATATTATAGATTGGATGACAAATCTACAATTTTGGGATTAGGTCTATGATTATGGTAGTACTAATACCAAACTAGACCATAATTCTATAAGGTCTAATATGTACCTCAGCTTGTCGTATTTAACGCTCTTCCTCACTCTGTTGTTTGTTTTTGCGTATTCCGCTCGTGTATTAGCTTTCTTTGCTCCCCTTCAACTGTCGCTAATCGCTGCCTTGAAACTTACATGGAGCAATAACAGAGTTCTATCCTTTGTGCCAGTGTTTCTTGGGGCCTAGCACCCCCTTAAACATCGAAGTTATTCCTTCATTAGTCTTTTCTTAGTTGCCCCTCATAATAGCTTTTTAATCTTTCTTATTATTTGTGTTCACAAACAGCTGACTGGTGTATAAGTGTTTCGAAGAAATCGTTTCAGATTCCTTCTTCCTGTATACTTGTAACGCTTGGAACTTTTTTTGGGGAGGTATACTGAATTATTTGCGTTTGTCAGCATCTCGATGGAATTCTGTATTGAACTTTTGTATAGCTGTTTCCCCAGTTTTCCCGTGCTTCTTTAGCTTCAGTTTCATGTTGGCAACCACCAGATAATTATCCGAATTTATGTCAGCTCCTCTCTTGCTTCCAATTTCTTCCATTGACCTTCTCAGTTTTTTATTGATGCAGATATGGTAGATCTAGTTATTAGTATTGTGACCGACTGAGACCCATGTGGCTGTATGCCATCAACAACCATTTTGTCGAACGCACATAAACCTGCTAATTTCTCACCACTCTCGTCCCTCTCTCTCATACCATGTCGTTTCATGACATCTTCATGCCTTGAGTTGTCATTACGTCCTGGGTAAATAGGTCTCCTATCAGGATTATCAGGTCTTTTCCTGGGCACTTCTCTACGATTGACTGCAGCCTCTCGTAAGGCTAAACTTTATTGTCTTCATTGTTATCATTGGTTGGGGCACAGAACTGTAATCTCTTCCTTATTTTGAAGGAGGCTTTGATGAAACTGGAACAGTACAATTCCCATCCATAGGTGTTTTTTGTGCTTCTTTGGACAGCATTAGTGCAGCTCCTTGTGTACGAGAAGCAGTTTATTGTTTATGTACAGAATATAACGGCATCCCTCTCGAATCTAATCTTTTCTGTCCAACTTGAATCCAATGGATTTCACTTATTATGAGAACAGTTAAGTTATACCTCTTCATTTCAGCAGTTATTTGGCTAGTCCTTCCACTCCACCACATTTACAGGATATTCTATGTACCTAAATTAATTGTTAATCTGGTTGTTAGAAGTGGCATCGGACTCGTGATTTCCGAAGAGCCTCAGTTTTACCATGAAGCGTCATAATTCTTCGAAATGATGATCCTTCAATTTCCAGGGTAGAGTTTGAATGGTTCAAGTCGTTGTTTTCGTTAGCATTTTTTAGCAAGATTGCTTTCCACCCAATCCTCCTTCATTACCCGGACCTCGGTAGACAGTAACCCTACGACAGCTACAGGTAAGTCATGTTCCGACGAAATATATCAGTACATAAAGACAAGTTATCTTTCCTGAGTTCACTATGAAGATCAGAACCCCAACACTATCGCGATCTCCCACCATAAACCTGGGACTTTCACGAAATTTCATTTCTTCCCTTTCCAAACCTGTGTCTTCTGTAATTTTTCGCTAACCAGAGTAACTACATCTTTTCCAGTAAACCACTTCAAGGGAAAACTTAGCTATTCAATGCTAATCCAAGGATTACATACACCCAGGAGCAATGGATAATTGCACAAGACGATGTGAAACTCACTAGTTTCACTCTATCTGCAGTACTATCACGATTATCAACTCTACTTACTTATTTACCTAAACTATGTTTTTCTCATTTCCATCTCTCGTCGTTGCTCATTTATTTACATGATTGAATCTACAATGCTGGAGGTTTTGGTAGACAGATTCTCGAGAAAATTTGTCAAAGCAGTACTCAGTTATAGATTATCGGCTACCGCTTGGACTATCTGTAACTGATGCATGTCTCAGAGTCTACCTACTGTTACCAGGGTCCCATATGAATAACGTATTCCGATACCGCCTACTACCATCTCGGTTTCTGCCTAATTCCTAAACTTCAGCCTTTTCATACTGTATGCAATCGACCGGCTTAATATTATGAAATACATATCCAAACAACAAGAAATGAGAGCAAAGTATCAATTGATTTGTACAAGATCATGGCAAAGATGGTGGACATTTGACATACGTTAACAATTATTCAATTTATTTATTTACTTCTTGAGACAATCTTTCTTTCCTGGCATCCAAACTGTATTGGAATGATAGGAAAAAGGGTCGAAGAAATTAGTTGTTTTATCCAAACTCCTAACAAAAGTATTGGACAGAGGTATTTTTCCTCCGAGTATATTTAATAGTATCGATTGTTTAATTGCGCATCAAGACTACCGTTATTGCTTTGATTGAATTTACTTCAGTTAAAGTAATCCCCAAGATTACAACTTCTTTTCTAGAGAGGTTAATCATCTGTACTTTTCGAGTACAGATACAATAAACTAAGATAACGGGTATTCATTTTTTCTCGTTGAGTAGATCTTTGAGTATTTTTTGTATCCATAGGTGTTAAAGTCTTTTTTTGGCTACTAAATTTGCATTTTTCTTTTATGTTGTTCGGTACATTTATATACAAACTTTCGTTTTGGTTTGTGTGTCTATCACCTTTCAAGCTTTAAAAGGCACTCTATCTAGAGACCAGATTCCGCTATGAGATCTCGAAACAAATTAACGGCACAAGTATAACATCGTTATGGCAGACCTGCATACCGTTTCCCTGTCAATAATGGGATGCAATATGATAACTGCAATAAGTGGTACCACAATGTGTGCACCGGAGTCACAACGGCTGCATATAAAAGGTGCTTTAAGCCATCATCACGCTGGCTGTGCAAAACATGTTGTTCTACAAAGTCTCCGCTGATCCTAGAGGTAATTGAGCTGCTGAACATAACTAGAAAATTGCACCCATAAACAAGCAGCAGCAGATAATCAGAACTCTGCTTTCGAGGAACTAGAGAGCATTATCATGATCCCAGCTCTGGATTTAAATGAGACCATAAAGGCGGACCCCATCAGAGAAGCAGATAAGAAGCATATGGATGTTGGTATGGTCACAAGGAAAAGTAAAAAGGGCGCGGGGAAAAAATGAATTATAGGCAGTACCAAGTTACGTGAATCTACGGTTTCTGTTCCGGATACACATGTCAACACAAAACATACTTTGGAGGAGCCAAGTCTGAGCGGTGTAGAGGATGTGATCACTAGACAAAATAAGGTAAGTGAGTGGCCCACAGTCAATACCAGGCATAGAAAAGTAAGGAAACAGAATGCAACTTCTTCGTTTGGCGCCAAATCGGAAGCGGATTGCAGGGCAGAGACGATGTTAGGAATTGAAATTCCACAGCGTGTCAAGACGGACCTTGTTGACAGGTCAGTCATTTTTCGTAAATTAAGAAAATCTTCCGATAAGGAATCAAAGGCTAGATTGGAGCACGATCTCGGTTACATTAAATTCTTAATAAGCAAGCTACTACCAGAAACAGTTTTAGGAGTTAACACGTGTGAGCTTAAGAGAATAGGACAAAAGGTAAATTCTGAAAGTACTCAGGAAAGCCGTCTCTTGAAGGTTACCTTTTCTACGGCTGAAGAAAGAATCCTGATAGTGGGAGACTCACGCAAACTGACTGGGTCTGGAATATACGTCCAAGAGTATCTCAACCTGATTGCTGGTATTAAGAGACGAGCTGCAAAAGTATATATAAATGAAGGTCGCCGAAACGGTGAAAGAAACCTCGCCCTTAAAGTTCTTCACATTGTAAAAGTTCGGAGCGAAACGATCTCAAAACAACTCTGGGCAGGAAGGGAAAGTTATTCACAGAATTAAAGGTGTGCCACACAAATGCTCACAGCCTACTAAATAAAATGGCAGAGCTCAGGACAGTGGTAGATATAGAAAAACCTGATGTTATTGCTGTCGTAAAAACATGGTTAACGCCGGAAGTGTATGATAATAAAATTCAGTTGTCTGGTTTTTTATCCAGTTGGGCTGATGGATTAAACCGAGGGGGAGATGGAGATATCCTGTATACGTAAATACCTTAACCATACGAGTTACTGAAACACTGGCACATGATTCACGGACATGTGAACTAGTGTGTTGCAAGCTGAAATGTAGATGGCAATATATTGAATTAGTTGCAGTATATCGCAGTCCAGAATGTGTAGTAGATGATGTAGCAGATGCAATCGTCACTCACATACATAAAATCGGATCGTGACAACTTCCGTCGAACTACAAACCTGTCAGCCTAGCCAGTATCATAGTTAAAATACTGAAATGAATAATCAAAAAAACCATAATGACATTTGTGGAAAGCAACAATTTGTTAAACAGCGAACAACATGGTTTCAGAAAAGGTTTATCTTGCACAACAAACCTCCTTATAGCAAGGGAGCAATGGATAAAGGCACTAGACAACAGAAAGTCAGCAAATGTGGTCTACATAAACTTCAGCAAAGTATTTGTCAAGGTGCTAACAAATAGACTACTCGTGAAGCTAGAAAATTTTGGTATTGTCGGACTATACAAAGAGCAGCTTGAAAAGCTAGACCTCGTCACTCTGTCCTATCTCAGATTAAAAGGTGATCTGATCTCGATGTATAGAATACTAAGGTATGATTTTGGACATAATATATTCTCTTTTTTCTTCTCAATAAATCGAGGCATCTCAAAGTACATAGTGAGCGAGTAGAAAAGTGAAGAACGAACGAATTACCCGTAACATACAGGTTTTCACACAGAGTTATCAGATCTTGGAACCTGTTACCCGAAGTAATGACGTCCGCACCTTCAGTTGACTCATTCAAGAGAAGACTTGACACTCGTGGAAGCATACTAGAAAAGGAATAACACCTGTCATAGGCCTTGTGTCTTTACTAAACAAATCTGAGTGTTTGAAACATTCCAGGTCGTGTGCGTTTATCGAATCTCGCGGTACGGTATGCCAAGAGACAAAGCGGTGTGCGACATTTTAGATGCTTCGTTTTATAAATCACCCTACCGTGACAGGAGGAATGATGTAAGTGATTGGACACTATATTCATCTTCATGCTAGCCATTCATCGTAACAAAGTATTTGGTATTGTTCCCGTACGAGCAATCTTTCTAAGGCACATAGTAAAATATCTGTTCTTTAAAAATATCTTCCTGCTAAAATCACGTTTATTAGTTGTAAAATTACTGTTGCAACTGTGACGTGGTGCACCTAACAACGTATAAAAGCCTTGAGGATTCATATGATACGTTTAACAAATGAATTGTGCAAAACATTCACATATTTCTACTTCAGATGTTTCGTTAGCCGGACTTTCGTTTACTGCCATTGCAATATGCTACCAATTGGCTTTTTGGGCAGCACATCCCAAAAATCTTTTGAGACGAGTCCACAGTATTTTGAACAAAATTACTATCAGAACTATCCGCACGGATATTTTAGTTACATAACCGAAGTCCCACGTAAGGATTTAAACTAATGTCTTTTTGGTTAAGTATGTCGAGATAAGAGTCACTTATCGTCTGTAACTTTTAGGAACGAACAAGCTTATTCAGAAGATAATATACATACTCTGAAATAAGTTTTGGATAACATAGTAACACTCAAGTGCTCATAGATTCAAGAAGCTCGTAGGAAAATAATAACAGAACGATCTTACATGGATATTGAGCTAGTACTGACCAGATTATTCATATAACTTATTCTATTTCCTTAAGACCATGTAAACGTGTTCATTTAACTCGGTTAAAATGGGTTCGTCAGCTTAAATTTTACCTTAATTCAAACACTGCATTCAGTATACATACCATGAACTCTCCATTTTGATATATATTTATGTACGTGGATTTAGAGGTATTTTATGGATATCGAACGGTCTGTAATAAAGGATTTGTCAATATATCGCCTCCAAATCAACAAGTTACGCAGGTTGTGTCTCAATGGATTGCACAACTACTCAAAGCTAAAATACGAGCTATTTAAGATCTAATCATCCCCACAACTAAATGAGACCGTTTTGTTAACACTGAAACGGTTGGCTGTAGGACAGCAATCAAAGTCGCTGAGAAGAATTATCAAAAGGCAAGCAACTACAAGAGTCGTCATATGCTGTCTTGATTTTAACAATGTGATGCAAACATCGATCATAGGTTTTTTAAAATTGCCTTTTAATTACTTTTCACTAAGGATAATGGCACTACTCAGCCCTCCAAACTGGAGCAGGTGGAATGAAATTCTAATCCATGTTTTGATAATTGGTCGCATGATATTTTTATAATTTATTCACTACCCTTATTTCATGGTTACCTGTCTTAGCATAGAATTACTGTTGTACTCAAAAGAGTGACAACATATTATAACCCTCATTATAATCTAATTTCAGTTTTCTCCGCGGGAATTATCTCAGTGTTTAAGAGAAACTACCACTTTATACATCGGAAATTTGTCTTTCTATACTCGTGAAGAACAAATTTGGGAACTATTTAGCCGAGCCGGCGAAATCAAGCGCGTTATTATGGGGTTACACAGATTTGATAAAACTCCATGTGGTTTTTGTTTTGTGGAATATTGTACACGGGACGGTGCAGAAATGGCGATGAGATATATTAACAAAACCCGATTAGATGATCGAATAATTCGCACAGACTGGGATGCGGGTTTTGAAGAAGGAAGACAGTATGGACGAGGAAGAAGTGGTGGACAGGTAAAAAGCTTTAATTTCTCGTTATTAAACGTAATTGTGCTAACTACATACTTTGAGGACTTACATACTATTTAGGTACTAATAGAAATTAAAACTTTAGAACCTCAAGAAAATGTACATCAACCCACTTGCTACATTTCACATTATGATAAAAAATTAATGAAGGAATAATTACTCCAGTAACCTCATAAGCAACTCAAGCCTCAAAAAAGTAATACTCCCAAAACTTTTGCACAAATTTAAGATCAGTTTATTTTGATGATCTTGGTTATGTGGTCTAGCCTATCCTCACTAGGCAGTATCACAGCCCTCGCACAAATCGAATGAGATTTGTATGGCGCATATTTATCTGGTGCTTCCTTGTACCAATATTTATGTGCTTAAATAAAATAATAATAATAAAAATCCTCATTAGGCAGATACATTTATGCTAACCATGCTAAATTAGTCAACATAACGGTTGACTCCAGATTAACACAGATACCGTGCATCTGTAAGTTGTCCAGGATTCCTGTAGTTTCCTCAACCTCGAAATGGTCTTCCGATGTACATATTCATTTGTCTGATGGACGATATATTGTAGTGCGTAACTGTGCGAATTTTATCATTGTTATGTAAGATGAAATGATAAGTGTAGTGTAAACTTCGCCAGACTTGTGTTCTTTTGTCTTACCTTTCGTCTGCATAATACTTTTGTCAGAATGTGAGGGACGGTAAGAAAGTTTGAAAATTCAAGGGACGAAATTCTTCTATGGACAGAAAGTTTACCTGTGTTCTAGTTCCTAAAAACTATTTAATGATTATAAATTGGCTGTAAAGACATCTTTCAAAAATATGGTAACTCCAATTCTTATTATTAGTTTATTTCAATCAATTGTCAGAACGGCAACTTGTCGATTGACCGATATTTGCTGATTTGTCTACTTCTGGTTTTAAGCTTAAGATATACCTATTAGTCAGTCTGATACATAACTGGAGATGGACTAGTCAATAGGATCATACAAGGAAAAAATAAGCACAACTTTCTTATTATAAATATCGTATGTAGGTATCAATGCCAAAGTTAAACTTGATAGTTTCAAGTAAATTGGAAATAGTTCAAAAGATTTCATGATTTGATTAATGTTTAATGGACATCTGCTAAATATTGTCATCCTCTAGTAAGCCATTAATAAGGTCCAGACACTTATCAATTGGAATAGTAGTGTATAAAGATACATCATAGTTTACTGTGCAGCAGTTCGTTCCGTCCTACTTTATGGCAGGGAAACATGGCCGATAAGAGTAGAGGATATTCGTAGTCTGCTGGTATTCGATCATAGGTGTCTTCAAAGCATTGCTCGTATATCCTAGGACCACCGGGCAAGTAATATAGTTGTTAGGAAACGGGTAATAGGTAAGAATGGCAAACCAATTGATGAAGTAGTGAAACTTGATCAGTTGAGATGGCTGGGATACGTGTTACGTATGCCCAACCACCGATCGCCCGACGTGCAATGTTTTATGGTGTAGGAGTAGGTTGGGAGAATGCTAGGGGCGGCCAGACCAAAACGTGGCACAAGTCCATGAAGTCACTGACAGTTGGACTGAGCCATGCTGGTAGGTGTAGACTACCTGGTTGGGATTCGCGAAATGATGGCAATCGATTGTTAGAGACCTTAAATGACAGGGCTCAAAATCGTTTGCAATGGCGAAGGTGCATCTACTCTTTGTGTTCTCCCAAATTCTTATCTTCTGAATTCCTCATGTCTATCTTTTTTCTCTTTCCAAATTTATTTCTCTGGGTTTTACTCCTTCAGTTACATCTTCAAACCCTAATCTTTCGGATTACTGCTTATGCTATTACTACTTTTACCACTATGGGATTCGAATGGACAACTGCATCTTTGTGTTAATGTGGGATGGCAACTCGAACTGATGTACATACGTACGAAGTTCTACGTTGTGACTGGCTGACTCATAGTTCACCATTGTTTTGTTCTCGTTGATAAAAAATTCCGAAGTCTTCGGTTTAAATACGGATAAATCCTTTAAGGCATTACTTAGGTCATGTTGAAATGGCTTCAGTATATTGCTTAGATTTTATTTATTTATTTAATCACATATATATTGGTACAAAGGGCACCGGATACATATGCGCCACACAAAATAATGAGAATGGGAGAAGGAAGAAAATGCGTATATATAAAAGAAGGAAAAAAAGAAAAGGAGAAGAGTAATGATGGGGGAAGTGAACGTACAACCAGAATAGCTCTCTCAGTTAGAAAAGTTATAGCCACTCTTTATGAAGAAAGTAGAAGAAGGTTACAGCAGGCTCTCCACTGGCTTCTATTCTGAGCCATATCTGATAACGTCTCTAGCCACTGTGTTGCACCATCTCTCGGATCCCAACCAGGGAGTCGTGAAGGGCCAACAAAAGCTAGCCCTTTGCAGCTTTCTTTCATAACACGACACCATGTCACACATTGACGACCTCTCCGCTTTTTTCAATCAGTTCCAGAGTCGGCAAATAATGCACGACGTGGAAGCCTCTGGGACGACATTCGTAAAACATGTCCAAGCCACCGAAGTCGGTGTTTCAAGATGGTGACACCAATTGAATTATCGTCTCTGCGCCCCAACACACGATGCTGAACCTCTGCATTACTAACATGGTGTTGCCATTGGATGTCATCAATCCTTCGGAGACAACGATGATCGAACACAGAGAGTCGTCTAACATCCTCAACTCCGAGAGGCCAGGTTTCACAAGCATAGAGCAAAACTGCTCTCACCGACGCGTTGTAGATCCGACCTTTTACAGCCAGACTAACATCACGAAGGCGCCAAAGATGGCCCAGATTGGCAGAAGCCGCTCTGGCTTTCATTATACGTGCATCAATCTCATCAGTCACGCCACCACCAGCACTTATGTAGCTACCTAGATACACGAACTTCTCAACTACTTCGATCTGCTCACCATCCAGGGTGAGTACAGGATGAGAATCCTGCCAGTCTTGTAGGAGTACCTTGCACTTGGAGGGTGCAAAGCACATGCCGTACCTGCGGACACTGATTGCCAACTGATTAAGTGCGGATTGCATGCCTTTGGCATTATCGCACAGTAAGACAATATCATCCGCATACTCGAGGTCGAGAAGTCGTTCTCCAGGCAACATATCCACACCGCCATTACTTACATCCACCAGAGCTGTTTCCAGGTTGTCGTCGATGGAAAAGTTGAAGAGGAATGGTGAGATTGGGCAACCCTGCCTAACCCCGCTGCTCGAATGGAACAAGGGAGAAAGGTGGTTGTATGCCCTCACTCTGCCTGAGGTGTTCGTATACAGGGCCTTCAAGATGTTAATGAACTTCTCAGGCACACCCTTCTTCAATAGACAATCCCAGAGAACAGTCCTGTCCAATGAATCGAAGGCAGCCCTGATATCAAGAAACACTACGATTGTTGGCCTGCGATAAGTATGACGGTGTGGGGGTATTTGTGGAGCCTACTATGGGTCTTAAAGGGATATCAAGTTTGTGAATTTTCGGTAGCCCATAAAAACGTGATGTGTTGGATTTGCGATATAAACTAGGCTATAAGGAAACGCCAATAAAAGCCTTTAGTTCTTTTAGAACTCCGCTCGTCCCAGGTCTAACTTTAATTTTAAACATATGAAGGTTTTTTGAATCGATTTCTACAAACGATCCCATAGATAGATGTTCAGGGGCTTTTTCTTCTGTCTCTTTTGTTCATAACCTCTGTTTTGTTGACTTTGTCAGGCTTGATGACAATCGTTCTATCATTTTATAAGGAGCATAGAGCTCACCATTAATCTTCGGAAACATTAAATGAAAGGTATTTCTGTTTTGTCAAAATGTGAAATGCTTTCTGGCACAATATATTATCATCAATGGCTTTATTCAATATTATTTTTTGGTACAATATAGAAATCTTAGCACGAGGTGACTGCTTATTCAGAAGTTTACTTAAGTATCGACTCTAGAATTGGGACGATTTCTAGGGTACCAGACGTAGATGATGAATCTCTTTAATTAGTTGAGGAATAATCCTATTAATTTACTTTCAAGTCATTTAATATCATAACCAAATTATAACATTACCTCTAATTCGGTTATGATTATCAGTTACTTTTCGCACTATTTATGTATTTCTTCGTATGTCAAACAATTGAGAATAACGCCATCACTAAAGCATTAACATCCCAATGAAATAAACATCATTATATTATGTGAAATACTATTAATTATCAGCCCCCAAATGCTCTGGTACGGCCGAGAGTGGGTAGAGTCCGCTCTTCTTCTTGAAATGCTCTCACATGGCCACGCGTATATAGCCTCTGCCACACAAGTCCTACTCACTACCTTATCGTGGCACGGGTGTTGTTTACGAAATTGAGAGGACAAAAAGAGAATGTCCGGTGTTTTAACCGGGTTGGTGGACATGGAAAGTTCACCTAGAAGAGTTGGAAAACCCTGATTCTAAAACAATCATCCACATGAGCTCCAGTGTCCTGAAGGAACAAACGGCGTATAAAATCAATCGTTGGTCACCAACTACCATGGGACTGCATCCCCTGACGATGCTCCACTGCCTTGTGGATCAGATCTTTAGGTCAAAGGCTCCGGGTGTGGCCCCTTGAGAAAACCACCTGCTTCAGTTTGGGCACCTGAGCAGTATCACAGACATCACACAAATCAAATGAGATTTGTGTGGCACATATATATCTGGTGCCCCTTTTGTACCAATATTTATGTGTTTAAGGTTCCCATTAATTATCACCTTCGTTAGGACAAGCTACTCAGTCTGATTCCCATCAAATTTCACTGTAATACTGATTATAGTTTTATGCTTCTAACAAAGATTCATGTTAATCATCCATACCATGTAGCTAATATTGTAAATAATACTGATACAGAAAGTCAGGTACAGGAAGTTGAATTTTGAGGGCAACACTAAGCATTACCTATCTGATCTCATATCAATAAAATTCTACGAGTAATCTATCATGCTTCGGCTAGTTGAAAGGAAAATAGCTTTAACAGCGATATGATATCAGTTGGGGCATAACCCTTGAACACTGAGACTATTGGACTTTTTCGGTGGTTTGAAAATTCTTGTTATTGTTTAACCGTGTTCTTAACTAGTATTGAACTCCTTTAAAGCCAAAACTCTACTTCGTTATGCAACCTTTGTGCTTAAAATTAACCTATTGGTAATTTTTTTGTCCTGGTTACAACCAAATGTTAATGTCGAGTTCATGTGGGCGGTATTGTACACTAGTTTTATGTCAAAATTCATATCAACTATCAGTGTTGCTAAGAGATGATGCATGTTATTGTTTTCTTCTAATAAATAACCTTAGGTACGAGATGAATTCCGTAAAGATTATGACGCCGAACGAGGTGGTTATGGAAAGTTGGCTCAACGAGATGGAGAATAGTTATTTTTATATCTTGTATTTTAATATTATAGAAACAAATAATACTAATGTACATACAGTTCGGCTTTCTTTCACAAAATGATATATACATAGAACCGATAAGCAATAGTATAAATTTAAAACTGTTCGTTGAGGACTTGTAATACTAATACCTCTTCTAACTTCAGTTAAGTAAGAAGAGAAAGGCAAAAGTTTTAATGGACAACGTATTTTACCGGCAATTTATTATGTGGTGTGGAAGTCGATGTTTTTGTGAGTTACATTAACATTTAATGGTCATATACAAAACTTGCCTCGATTCCAGACTGTTCTACAACTGATAATCATAATCATGTTCGTTTTACAGAGTATAGGAAATGGGAACATCAAACAACGTCAGATCCTAAATCACGCTCCCAAATATTCGCCTTGGATGTTACTAGGCACTAGTTTTTTTCAAGCGGTCTATATCTTATGTCAGAATATCAAGTCCCCTAAAAAACCTATTAAATGGTCTCTACCTTCCAGTTGGGTCGGTAGAGCTTAACAGGTGACAAAATCGTCAATCTGAATATCGAATGTTATGAGCTTTTCCCTGTGCTAAATCAATGACACGTCAACCAGCACTAGCAGTTTTGAATCAACTCTGAATTTTTATTGGTCCTCAATATAGTAGATTCTACCCTAGCCCTGTCTGTTGAGTTCAGAACATAGTACCCGCATCCACTATATGAATAATATATTCCAGACATATGTAGTTTATATACAAGCAGACCAGACCGCATCATACCATAATATAAAAAAATCCAGTAATTATACAAGATAAAGCCGAAAGTGGCTGTGAGTATAGGGGACTGTAACTGATAGACTGGGAATAAATCAAGAATGGTAAATCGTATAATAGTGGCCAGTAAGTCAAATGAAAGCTTATGATAAAAGATATAAATGTATGCAGTCTAGTTGTAAATAAGGATATATATGTAATAAGAGTCTATAAATAACTCCCACGGATTACCAATAATTTAATCCGCTTCCGATACAACAAAGGTTCCTAGGAGCTTAAATTCTACAACAATAACTACCGAACGTCTAAACCATTCCATGAACATTTGCCATTCATTCGCATGACTTCTTATCTATTTCTTCGTGATAGAGGGGTACGCAGTCAGTCAGCTACGGCGTAGGACCAGGGGTACGTAGTAACCTGATATTAACTTTTAAGAAACTGTCTAGCGTCTGATTGGTTCGTCTGACAAGTGCTTATTGTTGTGAAGCACCAGTCTACCGTTATCCAGTTCATCTAAATGAAGTGATAACAGTCAAACTCATTCTACTGATCCTATGATTGGCCCACTGTTGTGGAGTAGTGCATAACGAACTGTACAGACCTACTGTTCCGCTAGTATTAATGGATAATCAAGACGTAGACATTTGTTTGTCAGATATTAATATACTACTTTTACATACTGCTGAGTTGTATGGTTAATTTCAACCGACGCAATCTTACTACGTTGTAACGCTTCTCACCTATAAACGTGTTTGGGAAATTTTACAAAATGATGGGACAAGAAGAATGAGAAGATAAGTAAGTAACCCACTTCCGAATAGTAACAGTGACAAATCGAATAAATGCGGTACGACTAATGGTGTCAATATGTTTATGAGGATAAGGCCGGCTAGGGTACATTATGCTTGTCGTCATGCTGAAGGCGTTTGATCTACTTATCATTTTTAGCTCTAGTTGGAGTATTTATTTATAGAGGTCGCTGTTTTACTATCTATAACCCTGTGTTCAGATTTTGCTATCACAGCCCTGTGCTTGGTTTTGACGTGATTTGTTTGTTCACTGAGTAGAACCCATATTCCGTAAAGAAGTAACTGCCTGTTCTGATTGTCTACTCAGGGTATTCACTAATATAGGAGTAGGACGATACTTAAGGAGTCTTTTACTTGAACACTGACTAAAGGAAGTTACAAGGAACCCGGAGGTTGTTATTTTGCTTGGAAATCTACGTTTCTTTCCAACATTGTCTATATGGCGGTCAGGATGAGTGAAGCTCATTGGCAATATCTAGGTGAAGCATCACCAACCTATACAGTTACAGAATATAGTGGGAAGTTAATTCGCGCCACACATATAACCATCAATTACTAAGGAGACGGTATCGTCGTAGATTACAAAGTGAGTCCTGCGCTCTCGATATGCGTGTCTAGTCAGAGATCCATTTGTCAGAATGGATAAAGATGTACATGCGAAGTAACTAAGATCTTCATCCTTTATCGTCTCATTCAAGAAAGTATAAATCAAACTAATTTTATAGTTTCCCCAGAAGCATCAAGATTGATTTTGCTTAGTATCAGATCTTAGAGATATGGTACGTCCTACACTAGTCAACACATTCAACGATAAGGTAGAAAATAGTATTTTTAACCGACACTAGTCGCTATGATGATTTTAACAAGATCGTAACTCAGTCTCAAGGAGACGGCTGAACGGTCCAAGACTTTATTATCAGATGCTTACGAAAAAGCCACCTAGTATACAACACTTACATCCAGCAACTTCCTGATTGGATACATGGGACACAATCAAGATAGAGGGTTACCAGTTGTGTACAAACTACCAGGCAGAAATGTTGGGAACTACATTAATTGGCTCTAGTGTGGTAAATGCTCATAAAATATCGACATACTAAGAAACAAACGTCAGGAAGCATCAAGACTTCTGATTAGGTTTAGTGGTCTCATTAATATCCTGAAAGCTTGAATCAACTATTGGGAAACTCACATAGTCCATAACTCTTATCTGAAATACCTAAGCAAATGTTACACTTATTCATTTCCCCACAGTGACCCATTTCGGATGTGCCAGTTGGAGATCATGGGATTGCACTGATATAATAATTGAAATAGCGACAGTAGTCATGTAGCATATTTTACGAGCTTACATTGTAATATATAGGATCAACCATGTAAGCGTGGATAGTTTGAAAATAGACGAAGTGAAACGACTCGAATTCGGTATCAATGGACGCCCTTTGTATTATTCATTCCTACAAGCCAAATATCGCAGTGCAACTTACTCTTGTGTACTGCTTTAGGGAATAAATGTAACATCTCACGAGAAGATTGTATTCACATACAATAAAACGAAAAGAAAATATAAACGGTAGTTATTGAAATTTATTTGTGCGAACGTATGAAAAGTATTTTGGATGAATATGGAGTCTATCCAATCTGCTATGATAGAATAAAAAGACAAGAACCAGGAAGTTTAAATGTTTTAAAGTGAAACAAGCATGCCTTTTATTAGAGTTTGAGCTTTCGGCTTGCCACACAGCAATTCAACTAGCTTCATTGCAAAAGCCAATGCAGTTCCTGGTCCTCGACTTGTAACGAGTTTATCATCAACAACAACATTGTCTTCACAATATTTATAACTCGGAAGTTGATCCTGGAAGCCTGGATAAGATGTCAGCCTTTTCCCTATAGCGATTTTGTGGGATTCTAGGGCGATCGGTGCAGCACAGATTGCTGCAATGTACTTGCCATGTTTTTCGTGTTCTTTAAGTATTTTACCAACTAATTCCGATGACGCCATAGCATTAGAACCACCCATACCACCTGGCATTACTACCAGATCAAAAAGTTTAGACGAAACGCTAGAAAGTGAAACATTTGGCTTTATACAAACACCATTGCTTCCCTTAAGCACTCCATCGCCCTGAAGTCCACCAATAGTAACGTTTACCCCTGCTCTAGCCAGTACATCAGCAACCGTCACAGCCTCAATCTCTTCAGCTCCCTCAGACAGAATCAACAAGGCTGATGCACTCATTTCTGCTCTTGATGATCAGGGTCAAGGTCAATATGAACTCAACGTCCAATATATTTATTAAGCTCTTGCGCAGTCATCAATCTTCAATGAAAAAATAGTAAATCAGTTGACGTATGCTAACTATTGCGGCATGTCTTTTAATAAAGATGCAGTTTTAACCAGTATATATTATTTGATCTCTTTGTTCTTCAATGTTGTACTAACGAACGGCTTTTAGTCTTTAGTAACACTCCAATCCCGCTGATTCTGTTGGATTCAACAACAATTGAGTTCCAATTTTTCGTTATTCTAAACGAAAGCGTTTGTATCATGGTTGTATGGTTATTGAGATTATCAGCTCCCGCGCTACTAGGTAGTCAACTATGTAGTTTCAAAAAAATTATGTTGAAGAAATGTGGTAGAAGACATGGATTTAAGGTAATTGTGTTGGCTAAATAGATAATTTCACGTGTGCAGATGGAAAAAGAATGGACATAGTACTGGACAGTGGAGGTGATTCGGAGTGGCATAAGTTAATAATAATGATTGTTTGGATTGTAATAACAACAATCGATAGATCATTAGACATAATGAAAATAGGACATGTGAATGCCAGAATGCATTTACTAGTCAGTGTGCGTGATCAACTATCATACAAGGTTTAGTTCGATAATCCGTGATTACCTTCATAGTTACCTAACCTCCTTTAGAAGCTTTCTACTGTTAGAGCTTAAGCCGCATTAGCAGGAACATTGCTGCAAATATGAAAAACAGAGTGTGAGAAAAAATTAAATTCCACTTGTGAGTTTTCACATTGGTTTTCAATGTCTCAGGCTGTAAGTTTTTTATGAGCATGACTTGCACAACTCAATATTTTGTTGGTTATCGATTTTCTGGTCACCTAGTTGCAAAAAGCATTTTAAAGTTATTATCTCATGGCCGTGTAGTTTACTCGGTAAGGTATTGTCCTCGTTACATAGTAACTCCAAGTTGATTACCTTTGTTAAATCCTTCACGTTTGTGTGCGTGGTTGTGCATGGTAAAATTCCCTCCAACCTACATACCATAAGACATTAGCCTTATTCTCCCTTTGAATATTGAGTTAACCCGTTCATCCATTCGCTTTAGTGTGCTTTGTTCAACTACTGGTTCATCAAGTGTATTATCCATAAGCACTTATAATTATGTCACTTTAACCGTTTCATTTCCATTGCGGTTGTTCGCCTATAGCAAATATCATATATTCTTTAATGGTTGACTGTACAAGGTTTAGGAAGGGGTCTGTTTACCTGCATCGGCATGCTGTTCAGATATCTCATTTATTTGTATACCTTACTCTTATTCTTCTTAAATGATAATGATGTATCAAGTGAAGTGAAGTAATGTGATGCACTGATGATTTTCGAGACGTAGTGAACAAAGCGTAGATTTAACGGCCAAAAAATTTTCAGTATTTGTTCTGAGTGTGGAGCTAACGAGCCTGAGTTTATTTGGTTATATCGAACTGCGTTATTCTGCATAGCGTACGAAGCGATTTTGAGTGATTGGTATTAAATCAAGCCCAAACACTAAGTCTATACTTAATTTAGACGGTTCTTACTTAAGAAAAACTATATTGAGAGCGCAAAATACCTGAAGCAGTACATGTTGGGCAATATAGTCAAAGGTCTTTTGCGTACACAATGACGTTCTGAACATCCATAAATGAGTGTTCGGTACCTGACAATAAGTATGAAGATGTGATCGAGTACTCGTTCGCAAGAGTTTCAGAAACCGTTTCCAACATCCAAACAAAGTCAAAAACCAAAGGCTGTACCTTGAGTTCGGCCAAACACGAAGTTATCGTCAATAAAACAGCAACATGCAATAGTAAAATTACGTAATGAATATGAATCTCTATCTAGTCAATAATAAAACCCAGACAAAGATTACTGAAGAACACGAAACGTTGTTAAAAGAGACTTGTATGAAAGTTAAAATACAAGATAGAGAAGAAGAAAAAAAGAAATAACATTGCTGCAAAATGAAACAATTTAGACGGAATTTCGGCGTATTCTCTCCATTATACTGGCTACCCAAATCTCCCCAGCTACGTAAAGACATTTCCTAACCCACTCAGTTATGGCTATCCTAGATAACTTTCTTACTTCAATGGGTAGTGCAGCACTGACAAGAGTGCGTTTGTACATTCATAAGCTTAACCCACAACAAGCAGTTATCCGGCTCACTTAAGAAAACAAAGATTTCGCACACCTTTTCTTGCAACCTCTTTCTTCGTACGTGCTATCACTATTCTAACTAGGCTATCTCTGTCTACTTACAATTGTCAGTAAATCTCATCAGCCATGTTCTGCGAGTAGTAATGTCGTTAGCCATCACTACCTCTACATCATCTTTCCCCAGCTTTCTATGTTTGCGAGGCTATTTCTGTCTCATTGCAGTAACGGGAAGTGTTCATTCATCTAACTATACCAGAAAAAGCTTTGGCACATCCTTTTCCTACAATCATACTGAGTTTGATTGCAACTTGAGCGCTGCTATCCATAAAGGACCACATCAACGCTTCATCCTAAATGTCATCATTTTTGTGGCTCTGACAGCAGCTACTGTTGACAGTTCATGGTTGGATTTCAGAAACAGGGAAAATATCTAAATAATTCGTAAGTGACACTAGTACCAAACAAGCATCATTGTACCAGTAATTGAAAATTAGCCCTCAGAATTGGTTATTTTTCTTTTCGTGACTTTCACTAATCATAACTTCTGGACGTTTAACGGAACATGAATATGTAATTTGAACATAGATGGACTCCTGGTTTTCGGTATCACTGGGATATATAAAGAATGGTAAACCATGTTTTTAAGGAAGATCACCAATAAAACATGGAAAATTATGCCCCAAACTGTCACTTGCCTGGCAACAAAAGATGAAGCTTTTCTGTCCACAAACTTTTAGTTGAACTTAATAGATACGGACTGTCACCCAAAGTACTTTCCAAGCGAAGAGAAGAGAGGACCATTGAAACGAATCACCTTTGTGACTACCACATGTGATAAAGTGTCTATCAGTTTTACTCTTCTTAATTATGAATAGGCAAATTATACCATAGCCTGATAACTTGACAAGTTTCAAATACCTGAGGCTTTGGAGCACCAATCCAGGCAGTAAAGGAAGTACAAGATTTTCTCCGCTTTCCTAAAACCCTACCGACTCCCCATTGTCAGAGAGTGGTTTCGGCGCGATTTTTTCAGTGGAAGTTTCCATTTATTCTAGGTTCTCCTTTGAGAACAACAAAACACTTAAAGACTCTTTTTAACAAAAAGATTCTTCTGCCTAGCTTCTCGGGGCATCTGTTAATTTCATTTGGGATGCCTTTACATTAAGTTCTACAACTGATGATGTCAAGATATGGAGAGCGATACAAAGCAAGGGCGATAGTTTAGAACTTCAAAATGACCTGGAAAGATTATCTGAATGGTCCCAAACCTGGCAATTGCCGATAAACACTTCCAAGTGTATTGTGATGCATATTGGCCACCAGGGTACAGATACATACACGGTGAATAACACTGAGTTACCTATTGTTCAGGCACACAACGACTTAGGCGTCGTCGTCAGTCAAGACTTAAAGACTACTGCACACTGCCGTGCAATAGCCGCCAAAGGTTTTAGGACTTTATGGTCCATACGCAGGGCTTTTAGGCATCTTGACGCTAAAACGTTTTGGACTTTGTATACAGTGCTCGTACGCCCTAAACTTAAGTACTGTATACAAGCAGCTAACCCCTGCCTAAAAAAAGACATTTAACTCTTGTAAAGGGTTCAGAGAACAGCAACTAGGCTGATTCCCGGAATAGCGAAGCTCCCGTATGGTACTAGACTGACCAAGCTAAACCTATTCCCGCTGTCATATAGAAGAATCAGAGGTGACTTGATTATAGTTTTCAAATTGCTTAATGACAAATTTGCACATGATATGCCCTCATTTTTCTTGTCTTCCAAAACAGAAAATCTACGAGGACACTCCAAAAAAGTTCACAAGCCCAGAACGAATTACTTGTCAGCTGACTACCGACTTTCCCATCGAATAACCAACGAGTGGAATTCATTACCTCAGCACGTGGTTGAGGCTCCATCCGTCGACTTATTCAAAAGAAAGTTGAATCAGCTGAGAGACCATCATTTCCAGGACTAACACAGGCCATCAAGCCTCCTGTCCTTTCCAAACTGAAACTGAAACTGAAACAATCGTCAAGTGTTTGTTGGCTGATAGTTTTTTCTCTTACTGAGACCAGTATCACTACTGCTACTGTGTAAATGAACAAATTTTTTAGGAGGAGACACCCTCTCTATTTCAAATGACTGGATTATACTAGCTAGTGATACAGGTTCTAAATGCAAAGAATGACATAAACAAAGAGCAAGCACTACAAGCTTGTTTATATTTATTGCCATAGCAACCTCTCTTTTGCGCTTACAAAATTATGAAAATTAAAGAAGGGGAATTCACAGCTGCAATATATGGTGCTATTAAAGACCAGAAATATAAAGAAGCGATAAATATACTAAATCAACAACTCCTCGTCCATCCAACCAATCGAGCTGCACTTTCATTACTTGGTTATTGTTTTTATCAGCTACAGGATTTTGTCAGTGCTTCTGATTGTTACGAACAATTGACTCAGCACTTCCCTGAAGTAGAAGAATATAAATTTTACTTTGCTCAGTCACTCTATAAAGCAGGCTTGTTTCAAGCTGCGACTAAAGTAAGTGCCTCTATATGATAATTATGATCGTACTACTAATTAAAATGATTCCAACTAATGTGCTATTTAAGAACTCCCAAACTATTGCGATTTGAGGCAAGTAGAGCCAGATGAGCTTAAAAATAACGTTTTATATTTTTAATTCGTAATCAGCAGGCCACCAAGTGCAGCGGAATCATTATTTCTCAAAAAAGTGCCACACATTATTAGATCTAAAAGAAGAACGCTAAGATAACATAGTTTCACATTTTGTGGTTTCGTTGAACGTAAATTTATGAGTTTTTAATGTCGTGCTTTACTAATGTTGCGTTTACTATCTCAACATAATATCAGCACCTTCTGTTGATATATTCAAGACGAGATTGGACCTCCACAGTGTAACAAACTGCAAGGATTAAAATAGGTCACTAGACCTCCTATCCTTATTACTGAAGACTGAAGACTGAGGAGTTTAAACAATAAAATGGGTACGACCTAATTTTGGTTAGGTCGTTGACGCAACTATATGTAATCAGAATGATACTTAAATGGACCTCGAAAATTTTTTTGTGTAATAATCTGGTTATGTTAAGCTATTTTACAGAGAGCTTTGCCTTAGCAGATTCGCACGTGAATTTTGATGTTATTGAAAACTGAAGAATCCTAACTACACTTAAAACCTGACTATAAATGTGAAATGTATTTATGAAACCATATCAGAAGAGGTAGAGGATGTAGCAGCACACATCTTATTGTTTTCATATTAGTATTTAAATTCTGATCCATCAGAGGACTGAGTGTAAACAATATTATGACCATCAACTGCCGTATAGTTCTTTTAGATCACTTCATAAATATGTTTGGTTGAATTTTTGTTCAGTCTCAAAATGAAAATATTTAAAGATCGTCAATCTCCTCACATTGATGAAAAGTGATGGATTTATTTTCAAATACTTATTTAAAATGTCATATTAGCCTATAACTAACTACTTATAAGGTATTCGGCAGATAATTTATGTGGTATTTTAAAATGCATCCTTTAGAAAGATCTCATGCTTTTAAACACAAGGTGTAACTAAAATGAAAGTGACTGAGATTCACATGTAAATAAGCTTCACTCATATCCTTTCATCAGAGTTTTCAGGTCTGTTTTATCGAGACGATAAACATAAAAGTTGTTATGAAAAACGATTAAAATGTTATGCATTTTATAGGTTGCATTGGAAATTCTTGTTTTAAGACAGATTGACAGATTAATTGTTAGTGGGTTCGGTTTGGAATTACTAGATTGCAAGTTTGTCCTTGATATTCTTACTCCAACTATGGCACCCGGGCAGTATAAGTGAATTCAACATCAGCAAAATTAATCAAACCTGACTGTGTAGCACATTCTTGGTGAACAGTTTTATCATAAATAAGATGTAAAATGTGTGTGGCTCATACCTTTCAATCAATTTATTATTTTAAAACGTAGCAGTAAATCTTAGAAGGCCTTCCTTTTGGATCAGTGTATATTTCTAAAATGCTAGCAGACAAAATTCACTTAGAAATGGCTTCTGCGCTTTGTTAGTACAACACAAATATGTTCAAAAATCATCATAGAATATTTGGGAACGAAGAGTATTAAAGAAAAATAGTGAAAATCATAATAAATACAGAAAGGCTATAGTTAGTAATAAGAATAGAGCTACTATAAATATAAGGGTTATGTGCATCTTTTTCGTATGTATAAACTACGTTTTTTGAATTGACACTAATTGCTTCAGCTATATAAAAGGAGCATGATCTTTAGCTTTTCGGTTGAGTACTAGGATCTTGATGTGGAACTAAGTAAGCATTTTTAATTTTAACGTTATGTCCACAGTAAATTAAGTGGAAGGACTGGCACTGTCAATATACTTCATAAAGCCATCTCGTAACAATGTTGGTGCGTGTTCACGAGCACCCAAGGATAAGGACGTTTGAGTACGACCAATATAATTAGCCCCACTGGAGCAGTCAAATTAATAAACACAGACAGGTAAACCCAATGTGGGCATTTTGTTCCTAATTTTCTTCATCAACATTGGCTTCATTAAGGAATTTACATGTATTTTGAGAGTTGTTTTAGAGGACATACTTGTTCAATGTATGAGAATTTTATTCGCCTTATCAGTTAAAATCAAGCCTTAGATACAGAGTTTGCTTTTTAGCTGTGAGAGTCTGTGTTTCACTTTTAGGTTTAGTTATGTATTTCATTATGAAATTACCAGAGCATCCATTTTTCAGCAGCATTACCCTTAGTTTGCTTAACTCTTCCCACATACTATCCTCAGGATGTAGTCATCGGATTTTGTGACTCATAGGTCTAACTAGACGAATTTCAGTTAGTGAATATATTTAAAAACACAAGGGTATATTTCCTCTCGGTGAATTTTCATTCAATTTATACCGCATAAACCACTGCTCTTATTTTTCATAGTTATAGAGTAACCCCAAGAAAGAGGCTGGAGTAGTTGAAGTAGACGTTATGGATGCATAAAAATGGTCTTTGCCACAGTATGATTTTGATGTAAAAACAAAATTCAGTCAAAGTGGCCGAGTTGAGGTATGGGGTTAATTTGTATGGCCAGTGTTTCATGCCAGTAGACTTTATGAATCTAATCTATTAGGTATCAGATTTTAATACTTCTGTCTGTCAGTCAAACGCAAAGTTGAACCTAACACGTGTACACATCGATTCACATTGCTGCACTCTGTTTGTGCAGCGAGATGAAATTGTCAATGAAATTGACTTGTAATCAATCTCAATGAAGAAGTTGAATAAAATCCTTATCCATCAGTTGAATTATTGCTTCACCTAGATTCTGTTGCTTCGACTTTTTAAATCGTGACCATGAACCAATCAATATTATACCACCATTGGAAACCTGGAAGCATTTGACGGCCATTTCTTCTTAGTACTGGACTACTCAGTATTGTGCATCCACGATCCCACACACTGAACTCGTACCCAGGACCTACGGTCTTTTCCGAATACTTAACTTCTAGACCACTAAGCCGTAATCGACTGGTGTTAATGTCTAACTTCCATAAATCCACAATATTGCGCAACCATATTCCATTGTCTTCGATAGATAACTGCCTCACAACAGACGTGATTGAACTCCACTGGTCTGATGAAATGATTTCATGCTGATAATAATTAAAAAGGGTTAAATTACGTTTGTTGTGGTTGAGCATTCAGAGTATAGAAGTCAATGCATCCAGAACTCCAAATGGGTTTGAATCGAAGACCTTCATACACTGCATTAAGCATGATGCCAACAGTTATCTTATAAATCTCTGGATTATCTCAGATCAATATGTTTATCATCTATTTACCATAAACTGTGTGTTTTTTTTTACATAAAAGGCTGCAGCTCAAATTGAAGATCCAAATTTCAAAGAAAAATTAAATAAACTCAATGCTGCTATACATTATGGTGAAGGTGACTTATCTGGTTCACGTAGTATAGTTGAACAAAATTCTAATGGTGACATTGATTCAATAATTAATCTTGGTTGTTTGTTCTATCGTGAAGGAGATTATCAAAAAGCTTGTCAACACTTTCAACAAGCTATACAAGTTAGTTATTTTTTTAAATTCATTCTTTATTATTTGGAATATATGTTACATTCCACCAATTTTCATAGTTGAAAGCGTGAGTCAATTGAAGCTAGACCAACATGGAAAACCTGGAAGCACTGCTTGAAGGCCATTTCATCCTATTATGAGACTCCTCAGCAGTGACCAGTGGAGTTCAAACGACGTCTGTCGTGAGATATCAACTCACTGAAGACATTGGTGAAATGGTTGCTCAACTTTGTTGATCAGTTGAAGTTAGACATTAACACCGTTGGATGTCGGTTCAGTGATCTATCAGTTAAGTGCTCTGGCGCGAGACTGGTAGGTCCTGGGTTCGAATCTCGCTCGCGAGGCGGGATCGTGGATATGCACTGTCCCTCAATAGTTTTGACCAATTATCTCTTATAATATTTTACAAATAACTCAAATAAACTTTTGAAAATACTAAAAAAACACACTCATATTTCTCCTTTCTTTTTATTTTGTTGTCAAGACAACTGGTTACCAAGCACAATTAACTTATAATATTGCATTATGTTATTATCAAATGAAACAATATGCTCAATCATTAAAATATATTGCTGATATTATAGAACATGGAATAAGAGAACATCCAGAACTTGGTGTTGGTATGACTACAGAAGGTTTAGAAGTAAGAAGTGTTGGAAATACAATGATATTACATGAAACTGCTTTAATTGAAACATTTAATTTAAAGGTGAGTTGAAATTATTGAGTATATATATACAGGGAGAATTGAACAGTTATTTTTGTATTCTAGTTTATGAGACTCCTCAGCATGTCATACTCTATAATCTACTAGGAATTGAGCCCATTTATTTATAAATGACATGATGGGATAGTAAGTTTGAATTGAGAGGACGAAAAGTGAATGTCCGGCACTCTAACAGGGTTGCTGGGTACGGAAGACCCACCTAGGGAAGTAAGAAAAATCCTATTTCAAAGCAGTAGTGCATACAGGGCTCCAGGATCCTAAGGAAACAAATGACGTATGAATCTAATGTTGATCACCGGCAACCATGGGACATCATCTCCCGATTATGCTCCACTACTTTGTGAATTAGACCTTTGGTTGGAAGGTTCGAGGGTGTAGCCTGTTAAGAAAACAACCTGATTCGATTTGAGAACCAAAGCAGTATTCCAGCCCACACAAATCGAATGTCGAAGTGTGGCGCACATATATTTCATGCCTCCTTGTACCAATGTTTATGTTTAAATAAATAAACGTGGTAGAATCATTTACTTATTATTTCCTAAGGATTCTCTTGAGATGATATATCGTTGTATTGGTCATTATTTAATGTCATTCCTTGAGTGCTCACTGTCAGCTAACATAGGAATATTAAGTGTTGAAATCGAAACTAAGAGGTCAACTAACATCCTTTGATTTCCCGTTATCATATTACCATTTTCTTCTCGTGGAATACAATTGTAAGATATTTGAGAAGGAGGAATTTACAAAAGTTGCTACATTATTGAAAGACAGTACATAATTTCTTGTTTATCTTCAGATTTACACTAATCACATGATAGATGTTAGACAATTATAATCTTATAATCTTGAACGTCCGTTTCATCCTAGTATGGTGCTCCTCACCAATATGCATCCACGATCCCAGTTGCCAGGATTCGAACCCAGGATATTCGGTCTTGCATGTCATCCACTACTTCACGTTTCCATGGTGATACAATCTTTATATACCCCCCCCCATTCTAATAATTAACAATGTTTACCATAATCAAAAGGGGTTTGGTGAAGATTCTAGTAATTTTATAGAGTTGAAATCATGAGCCAATTAAAGCTAGACCTGGAAGCACTGGACGGCCGTTTCGTCCTATTGTGGGACTCCTCGGCAGTGCGCATCCACGATCCCGCCTTGCGAGTTTAGGAAAAACATAACAATAAAACAAATGCACACAACTGATCACTGAATGCTAGATTTTGTGAATGAGTTAGGAATAAAAACAAACATCTGGTATTTCTAAGTAGGACAGAAAGTATTTCTTTGATCTTTCTTGTTATTTACACTGTACATTATCAAGATATAATGAGTTATAGTATTGAAATGTTTGCATACGAGACTTGTTTTCTAATAGAGATTGAATCCATGCAACTCAATGTATTGAGATAAGATGGTGGTTGGAGGTGGTCAACAGGAAACCCTGGACCCGGGTTTCGTGCTACATGGCACTCGTCAGCACCACCTCCAACCACCATCTTATCTCAACATAGTACACGCAGTGTCGAGCCACCTAGACTAGTGGCCACATTGCAACTTGATCGATAGCATTCGATCGGCACTTAACACGCATGACATTGATCACCACCCAGTGATCAATCAATTGTAACTCAATGAATTGATTTTAGAAGAATAGTTTCTTAGTTAATATTTATCATTTGAGTGATTTTGTAGGGGGTGGGGTCTGATTTTCAATATGGTTTAGTATCATTTAAGGTATCATAGAAAATCGAGAATCACTAGACAGATGCTTCGTTTTAGTATGAGGCAGTTCCTTCATCTGTAAACACTGGTCATGGTTGCATCGACCACATATTCACTATTCGTCAGGTTTTAGAGCACAGATATGTTTATCGGCGTCCTAAAGTGATAGTTTTTCTTGACTTAAAAGCAGCATTTGACTCTGTAGACCGAGAGGCTCTGTAGCATTGTCTGACATTGAAAGGTGTACCTCAGAAGTACATAAACTTTGTGAAGGCTCTTTACTCGTACACTACCAGTCGAGTGAGAGCTTATGGCGAACTGTCATCTGATTTCACAACCTCAAATGGTGTCCGACAAGGCTGTCCACTATCCCCATTTTTGTTAAACTTCATTATAGACCTATTGCTGGAAATAACACTCTTTTCAACTGAATTTACAGGAATTGATCTCCTATCAGGGGGACCACTTATCGACTTAGAATACTCAGATGACATAGTTCTGTTTGATGAAGACGCTGGCAAAATGCAGAGTCTTCTGTTGGAACTCAGTAATAATGCCAGGATGTTTGGGATGCGTTTCTCCCCATCCAAATGTAAATTGTTACTCCAGGACTGGCCTGCGTCAACACCTGAACTAAGGATAGGGAGTGAAGTAGTCGAACGCGTCGACAACTTCACTTATCTTGGAAGTCTGATCAGCCCTAATGGGTTAGTGTCTGACGAAATCTCAGCACGGATTCAAAAAGCTCGTTTGGCTTTTGCCAACTTACGTCACCTATGGCGTAGACGAGATATCCGTCTATCAATTAAGGGACGAGTATACTGCGCAGCAGTTCGCTCTGTTCTACTTTACGGCTGTGGTCATTAAGAGTAGAAGACACTTGTAAGCTATTAGTATTTGACCACAGATGCCTTAGAAATATTGCTCGCATCTGCTGGGATCACCAGGGTAAGTAATAGTGAGGTTATATACAGAGTATTAGGGAATGATGGTAAATCAGTTGATGAGGTGATGAATCTTCATCGACTGAGATGGTTGGGCCACGTGTTACGTATGCCTGAACACCGATTACCAAGACGCGCTATTCTGACTAGTATGGGGGATGGTTGGGAGAGAGTTAGGGGTGGCCAAAGCTAAACGTGGTATCAGTGCTTGAAGTCACTCACTTCTAGTCTTAGCCATGTTGGTAGAAGCTGATTACTTGGTTAGGGTCCGTTTGACTATCGTAACCAAAGTTGGAGACTCTGGTTGACGTGGCTCAGAATCGATCACAATGGCGTAGGTGTATACACTCTTTATCTTCCCTTAAAGCTTGAGATTAAAATTGCTTCATAACGTTCTTCCTTTCTATACTATATCCTTATATACAACCTTTCTTTATATACTACCACCACTAAATTAACTACTTCTATGAATTCGGTGTTCATCTTGTTATGCTTACGAGGTATGGCAACTTGGACCGATGCATATATGTGCTCGATCCTACGTTGTAGCTGATTGACTGACTCTGTAAACACTAAAATAAAATAAAAGAGACGTTGAGTCTTATGAATAGAAGTATGATCTATGAGATTCTTTAGAGGGTTTCAATCTCAAAATCTAGTTATGAGGGTAATCTAGAAGCCAAAAGGCAGGATTTGTTTGGAATATGATACTAGGAAGATGTACATAACACAAACTACTCAATCAATATTAAGTAGTATAATTAATACACTGAAAGCAGGCAAATAAATGAAGTTATAAGATATGAAATGGATTTGATATCATGAATAACAATTAAGGTTTGTAGAGATTTTTTTAAATTTTCGGGGTAGATTTTAGCTGGAAGTGACTCATTGTGGAAAAATACTGAGATCCATGGTGCAAATTGAGACTCTCCAGAAATGGATTAAACATGAACTCGACATCAGCCATACCAAAGACACGAATGTTATACAATGAGGTCAATAAATTAAAAGCCCTCATTAAATACCTAGTATTTCAAATTGCTGTATGAAAGTTCATTCAGATCCAATCGAACATTTTCCACAAACCTCCTGTTTTAATAATTACGTGTTCTCATAGTTGAAATCATGAGTCAATTGAAGCTAGACCAACATGGAAAACCTGGAAGCACTGCTTGAAGGCCGTTTCGTCCTATTATGGGATTTGTCAGCAGTGCCCATCCACGATCCCGCCTCATGAGCGAGATTCGAACCCAGGACCTACTAGTTTCGTGCCAGAGCTCTTAACCGATAGATCAATGAGCAGGCATCCAACGGTGTTTATGTCTAACTTCAACCAATCCACGAATCCCGCGAGTGCGGGATTGTGGATGCGCACTGCTGAGGAGTCCCACAATAGGACGAAACGGTCGTCCAGTGCTTCCAGATTTTTTATAGTGGTCTAGCTTCAATTGACTCATGATTTCAACTATGAAAATACTGAAATATCCACAAAACCCCTTCTGATCAATCACGTGTTCAGTAACATTCTTGGATTACTAGTGAAAAGCTGTAACTCATGAGATTTAGAATTTAAATATCTTACTTTCTAATAACACTCAATTTATCACAATACAACTTTGGAATACTTTCCTGAATATTAGATCTTGATCAACTGAAATGTTTTAGACATGTGTCATATATTCTTACTCGTTTCCTTTTCTAACTCACGATGTTTCCTGTTTAAGCATCAGCTTTCCAGGGATCTAGAAGTAGTAAAATCAAAGAGTGACATTCTCCCATGAAGTCATCCACTCATGTTTGTTGTCTGGTTGGGATACCCATGTTAACCGCGATTATTAGTGGCTATAGACGTTGAGTGATATACCTCAGAATCAGTATCATGATCGTGCAAATGTATTCATTCCTTATTTCCCTCTTATCATCTTCAAACCCTAATCTTTCACATTACTGCTTAAACTCTTATTACTTCTACCATTATGGGATTTGAATCGACAACTGCATCTCTGTGCTAATGTGGTATGGCAACTCGAACTGATGTACGTACGTACATACGAAGTTCTACGTTGTGACTGACTAACTGACTCCCTCTTATTAATTATTGTCTTTGGTATTTCTTTCTATTTAAGGCAGCTATTGAATTCAATTTAAAAAATTATACATCGGCATCTGAAGCATTAACAGATATGCCACCAAGAAGTGAAGAAGAACTTGATCATATTACATTACATAATCAAGCTTTAATCAATATGGAAATAGAACCAGATATTGGTTTTCAAAAACTACAATTTCTATTACAACAAGAAACCTTTCCACCAGAAACATTTGCTAATCTTTTATTACTTTATATTAAATATGAATATTATGATTTAGCTGCTGATGTATTAGCTGAAAATACAACATTAGCTTATGAATATTTATCATCGGATTTATTTAATTTTATTGAAGCTGTCATTCTTAGACAAACTGCTCCACAAGATGCTTATAAGTAAGTTGATTCAATGAAATAGAGCTTCATTTTATCTTTATAACTGGTAGTAAGTCAAATTGTTTAAGATGAACAATGGACAACCTTCAAAGTGACATCTTTTCTAACCCTACCCCTCCTTGTGGGAAGGAAGCATCGCTGCAGATGCTGGCTATCTGAATGAAATATCTTACTGCTGTCACACCTCTGTACAGTCAGCAGTACGACTTTGCCTTCGGACCATGAGATTGCTGCTTTTAGTATTACCACTCTTCAACCAACCAGTCTGGCATGATAGAACCAGCCAGTATAGCTCGATTGGTTCGTCACGATAGGCAAGCCAAACCACCACGTCAAGGTAGCAACAACGGTCGGGGCAAGTGACACCTATCTGTGTTCGTCAGTAGTTTATACATTTGCATGGATCGATCAGTGTCATATTTTTCTGTACTTAATGTTCAACAAACTCTATCAGTTAGCCTGTAATATGGTTACTAAACTAAGTGATTGAATATTTTCTATACTGTTTTGATGGCTAAACCTAAGTTTCGTGTTAATTGGTACTCGTCAGTATGACTTACTTGTGATCTGAAAGAAAGTGATCTTCGGTGTAGGATTTGAAGAGAACTATTCAAAGACGAACTCGACTCTTACTTAATTTAAATGTCACAATCCCGTAGGAGGTTAATTATGGCTCAAATTTACCAATAATAACGTCCCTTGCTCGTAGCATAGTACAGGTTGGAATCTCTCATGATCAATTAGTCTCTTGAAGATTGTAGTGAAGATATCACCACATTTTGTAGTTTAACAACTCTTTACCAGTAGCACCTATAATTGAATCGCGCCCACCGAGTTAAAATCAAAAGTCAGAAGCGAGGAGGTTGGAAGATATATTTGATGGGTTATCAACATATCGATAAGTGACTGATGTAATCTGGCTAATGATCGTAGGAGATGCTTTCTATGCCGTTCTGTAACGTGATCTGGTACGGATGCATGACCGAGCGCCTTCAGCTAAACGAGTCCATTAAAACTAATGTGGTATACTATTAAGACAACTGATGGCAAGTGAAGGGAGGTTATCAGTAAGTAGCCGTTACACGTCACAAGATTTAGCTATTACTTACTTGCTTACGCCTGTTACTCTCAATGGAGCATAGACCGCCGATTGGCATTCTCCAACGCACTCTGTCCTAGGCCTTCATTTCTAGTTCTATCCCATTATTGTTCATTCTTCTCCTGTCTCTCTCCATTTCTCGGCGTAATGTAATCTTTGGTCTTCCTCTTCTCCTTTGGCCTTCATGATTCCATGTGAGGGCTTACCTTGTGACGCAGTTGGGTGATTTCACGGGATCGCTAACCCCATGCCCAACCCTCCTCCTTTACCCGCGCTTGGGACCGGCAGTATCCCCCTGAGGGACTACAGGCGAAGTTGAGATTAAGCCGTGGATCTTCAGATTTCGTATCGACACTGCCTAATCACTGTGACATTGTTTGATAATCTGTATTTTCTCTGTTTTAGATAAATATTCACACAATCACTTATGTGAACGCTCATGATGTTTATACTGTTAACGAAATTGGAAATGAATTTTTGATGACTTAATGAAAAGGGGGTTTTTCTGTGGAGATTCACGGAAAACCCCCTTATCATATGCTTACTAGTGACTGGTTCCAAGAGGTATTCCCTGGAGTTCTAGTGAGAAGCAGTAACCATTAGAGTTCAATCAGGTCTGTTGGGAGATATCAACTCACTGAAGATATTGGTGAAATGGTTGCTCAAATATCGTGGATCGGTTGATGTTAGACATTAACACCGTTGGATGCCGGCCATCTCAGCTGTCTATCGGTCAAGTTCTCTGGCGCGAGACCGGTAGGTCTTGGCTTCGATTATTATGAGGCGGGATCGTGGATGCTTACTGCCGAGGAGTCCCACAATAGGACGAAACGGCCATCCAGTGCTCCCAGGTTTTCTACGGTGGTCTAGCTTCAATTGACTCATGATTCCAAGTATATATAAAAATTACTTAATGAAAAGTTTTGTGTCTAACAATGTCAATGAAGCTGAGTTAGAGATACTAATCTATAGATGATGTCGACTAAGAATTATACCTTTATCACAATATGATTCAGGTTGATAATATCTGATAATATTTTAAATTGACACTGGTTATCATTCAATAAGCAGTTATTGCGAAACTTTAAATCCTACAGGAGGTTAGCCATTGTTCAGATAATTCAGTGAAGCTGTCTCTGATTGCAAAACTGGATGATATCGATTTGTACATCATGAGAAACATAAGCTTTCTTATAATTCCATGTATGTCTCACTCATATGTCCCAGTTAATACGAATTCTAGATTCAGAGTTTTCTGTAGATCGCCGTCAACAGTCAGATTACATCGGTTAACTTAAATTAGTGAACTTATTGCAAATTAACTAATGTTATTTGACTAACATTAAGGATGAAAGAAATGTTGCATTGTTAAATCAATGCAGATGTAAATTTATTTATTTCTTTAAGCACATAAACATTGGTACAAGGAAGCTCCAGATAGATATGCGCCTCACATATCGAATGAGATTTGTGTGAGGGCTGTGATACTGCACGGGTGACCAAACTGAAGCAAGTGGTTTTCCTAGGGGACCACACTCGGAGCCTTCGACTTAAAGGTCTAATCCACAAAGCAGTGGAGAATCGTAAGGAGTTGCAGTCCCATGGTAGTCGGTGACCAACCATTGATTCATACGCCATTTGTTCCTTCAGGATACTGGAGCCCATGTGCACCATCGGTTTAGAATCAGGGTTTTCCAACTCTCCTAGGTGGACTTTCCGTGTCCACCAACCCGGTTAAAGCGCCATACATTCACTTTTCGTCCTCTCAATTTCGTAAGCAACAGTAATGTCACGAGAAGGCAGTCAGTAAGACTTCCCTGGCAGAGGCTATATACGCGTGGCCATGTGAGTGCATTTTGAGAGGGAGAGCGTACTCTCCCCACTCTCGGCCGTACCAGAGCATTTCTGGGGCGCAGATCTAAATAGGCATAATGCGTGATCAGGAACATATGGAAATTCAGTTAGTACTTGAGTAGTCTAAGGTTCTGGTTAGCGTCTTTTTAGCGAATTGGTTTTCTACGGGATGGGTTCGCTAACCCCATGCTCAACCCTCCTCCTTTACCCGGGTTTGGGACCGGCAGTAGCCCCCGGAGGAGCTGCAGGTTGAGTTTCTATAATGATTTAGGTTTCAGTTTGAATCCAGTTGTCTAAACTTATTTTATAATCAATGAAGTATTCATCAACTTTTTTTCTGGAATTTTCTTTCTGAAATCTTACTCAAGTCGTCTTGATCAAATGGCTATTAAACATACAGAACAATTAAGACGTTTAACAAAAATCATCCAAGAAGCAAGACAAAATCAAAATGATGAATTAGTTAGAAGTACTGTCCAAGAATATGATCTGGCATTGGAGAATTACATTCCAGTATTAATGCAACAAGCTAAAATCTATTGGGATATGGAAAATTATCAACAGGTAAACTAATGTTATACAAAAGATTGTTATTGTTTATTTATTTCATTGTTGAAAGCGTAAGTCAATTGAAGCTAGACCATTAGGGAAAACCTGGAAGCACTGCTTTGACGGTCGTTTCGTCCTATTATGGGACTCCTCAGTGGCAGTGCGTATCCACGGTACCGCTTCGTGAGCAAGATTTGAACCCAGGACCAACCAGTCTCGCGCTAAAGCATTTAACCTTATTGTTTTGTCCAACTTGTTAATTCAGACATGTAGAAAACGTTGATCATTGCCTTAGGGAACTAAAGTTACATACATATAATCTTGGTATTCATTATTTCCATAGATTGGTCAGTCATGACATCAACTAATTTGGACTAACGGACTACAACAGGTACTTGATTAACAAGAGCTTAGTTATTCAAATGTAAACAGTGTTATGCTCTATAGAATTTAACACTTCTTAAAACTCAATTAATTAGATTTACAAACCATCCAACAAGATAGATGACTTAACATGGTAGTTCAACTTGCTTATTATGAAAGTTTACTTTCCACTCACCGGAAGTATTAGTTCCTTGAAGAGTTCAAATATACTTCCATAAGGAATCCTAACCAACATAAAACTCAAGTGTGCGGTTTAATGTCAATCGGCTTCCAGCACTTAATGAAGAAGTTCAACTTTATTCAGTTTTATTAATATGAATCATTGGAAAGATGGATCTTCAATTTTCTTCAGAAATCAGGTATTAAACAGATCACTGTTGATAAACTACCAAGCTGTATGATTGCATAACTGAAGTAATATTCAAAGTCAAAATCTTCAATACGAACGTCACGACAGTCCTACTATACGGGTCTGAAACATGGAGAACCACTACAATCATCGTCAAGAAGGTACAAGTATTTGAAAGCAACTGTCTACGCAAAATACTCAATGTCCGTTGATCGGATATCATCAGCAAAAAGCCTACTGTGGGAGAGTACAAACCAACTTCTAGCTGAGGATGAAATAAAAAAAAACGTTGGAAGTGGATAGCACATACATTAAGGAAATCATCAAACTTAATCCCGAGGCAAGCACTAACTTGGAATCCTGAGGGGAAGCGGAAAAGAGGAAAGTCAAAGAACACATTGTGTCGAGAATTGGAAGCAGACTTAAAAAGGATGAATAACAACTAGAAGCAAGTGGAAAGGATTGTGAAGGACAGGGTTAGATGGAGAATGCTAATGGTTGGCCTATGCTCCTCCATCAGGTGGGTAACAGGCGTAAGTAAGTAAGTAAGTAACTAAGGTAATATGGTTATAAGGGGAAACACGTCTCTATTTAATGAAATACAAAACCAATAACAAGAAAGAGCATGGAGACTAAACCACTGTGGTATTATACATACGAAACAATCATATATTAGAATTTGTAGTGATAAACTTAAGTTTTTCATAGAAGAAATCATGAGTCAATTGAAGCTAGACCACCATGGAAAACCTGGAACCAGTGGACGGCTGTTTCGTCCTAGTATGGGACTATTCAGCAGTGCGCATCCACGATCCCGCACTCTCGAGATTCGAACCCAGGAACTACTAGTGCCCCGCCACAACACTGAACCGAACTCAAGTTTACCAATTTGATATTTTACCTCTTATGAACTATTAGAATTATTCATGTGTTTATTTTTTATTTTTTTAGTAGCTAAAGCATTGCACTTTTAACTTTACGGTTGTAAGTTCGAAACACATCGTATTTATTTCAGTCTAGGCAGTCGAACAGTATTAACAAATTCAAGATAGCTTAGTTTCTTACAGATACTATAGTGAACAAGAACACTAGTTGAGGACAATCGAATGTATTTAAGCACAAAATTACAGACTATCTCACTAAACTCTGATAACCATTCAGTGAACAGTTAAACTGACAGCCAATTGTCTCAATCTTCACTGTTCCTCCGGCAGATATCAGTTCATCTTCTTTAATTTCATTGTTCATGCATTTTCTCACCAATTTGTGCTTTATTTCAGTTATTTCCTTATCGATCTTCTACCAAAATACATTCTATGACTGACCATCATCATATACTACTTATATGGATATAAGTAGACCATACTACAATACTTGTCTGGATAGTCGAAATGATAACTTAGCTTATGATCTTTTTTTTACATATGGTAAAACCATTGACCAACTCATTATGTAAATAAATATTAAAGAACTAAACCTGTTATTTATATGTGCAGTATACACCGAGAATACCATCACCATATGTTCCTTTTTAGTTACCATATGAATAATCAAGGATGAAAATATTAGTAGTAAGAAAGTCAACAGCTTTTACATTCAGTCAGTCTTAAACATTAGCTATAAAATACACATGTGTGACTCAAAGTTGACTACTTAAATCTGTGAAACGGTAATCATCCGTTAGAATATGAACTCTCTCTCTCTCTCTCTCTCTGTATATATATATATCGTTTGAATTCACTTAGTATTGTTTGATTTGAATCTTCCCATCGATGTGTTAAGACTGCAACTGGTCAGTCTCTAATTGGCATATGTGCATACTGTGCATATTGCCTCAATATAGCCTTAATTCACAAGCATTATGAGCAAAGATGGATAGTGGTTAACAGTGGAATCCAGTTTGACGTGAGTCACTTCATCCTACTTTGGACTCGTCAGCTGAATGCAACTACATCTCAAAGTTGATATTCACTTTGGGACTCGAATCCAATACCTTTCACTTCAAACAACATCGCTTTATCCACTTAGCCACTGATTCCTGATAGCCACATGCTTGAGCAATCGGTTGAAGTTTGAATTCACTTAGTATTGTTTGATTTGAATCTTCTTATTGATGTTTTTAGGACTGCAACTGGTCAGTCTCTAATTGGCATATGTGCATACTGTGCGTATTACCTCGATATAGCCTTAATTCACAAGCATGATAAGCAAAGATGGAATCCAGTTTGACGCGTGTTTTGTCCTATTCGGGACTCGCCAGCTGGTTGTGACTGTATCTCAGAGTTGATATTTACTCTAAGACTCGAATCCAAGTACCTTTCGCTTCAAACATCATCACGTTATCCACTCAGCTACTGATTCCCTGATCTACAAAACTATTTGATACCTTTTAATCTATCAATCTTCATATCCCTTCTTTCTTTCTCTTATTATTTAGGTAGAAAAAATCTTTCGTAAATCTGTTGAATTTTGTAATGATCATTCTATATGGAAATTAAATGTAGCCCATGTATTATATATGCAAGAGAATAAATATAAAGAAGCATGTCAGTTTTATGAACCAATAATTAAGAAGCAATATCATCATTTACTGAATATAAGTGCTATTATCTTAGCTAATTTATGTGTTACCTATATAATGACTAGTCAAAATGAATATGCTGAAGAATTAATGCGTAAAATTGAAAAAGAAGAAGAAGAACAAGAAGAACAAGAAGAACTACATCGTGGAACTGACGGCGATGTCGACGGTCATGATGATCTAGACGTTCATCGTCATGATGATGTTATATTATCTCGTCATCATTCAAAGAAAAAATTATTTCATTTATGTATTATTAATTTAGTAATTGGTACATTGTATTGTACTAAAGGGAATTATGATTTTGGTATTAGTCGTATTATTAAAAGTTTAGAACCATATCATAAAAAATTAGGACCAGATACATGGTAAGTAATCAATATGTTGTTTGTTTGTTTATTTGTTTTACTTTACTTTACTTTACTTATGCCTGTTACTCCCAATAGAGCATAGGCCGTCGACTAGCGTTCTCCAACCCACTCTGTCTTGGGCCTTCCTTTCTAGTTCTGTCCAGTTTTTGTTCATTCTAATGTGTTCTAATGTGTTCTTTGATCTTCCTCTTATCCTTTGACCTTCAGGATTCCATGTGAAGGCTTGTCTTGTGATGCAGTTGTGTGATTTCCTCAATGTGTGTCTTATATACTTCCAGCGCTTCTTACTGATTTCTTTTTCCACTGAAATCTGGTTGGTTCTATCCGATAGTAGAATGTTGCTGATAGTATCTGGTCAACGGATCCGAAGTATCATGTGTTACTAACTTACTTACATACTCCTGTTACTCCCGATGGAGCATAGACCGCCGACCACCATTCTTCAACCCACTCAGTCTTGGACCTTCTTTCCTAATTCTATCCAATTGTTGTTCATTCTTTCCATAGTTGAAATCATGAGTCAATTGAAGCTAGATCACCATGGAAAACTTGGAAAAACTAGACGGCGGTTTCGTCCTATTGTAGGACTCCTCAGTGGCAGTGCGCATTCACGATCCCGCTTCGCGAGATTCGCGCCAGAGCACTTAACCGATAGATCACTAAGCTGATCAGCGTCTAACGGTGTTAATGTCTAACTTCAAGCAATCCAAGAAGTTAAAGCAACCGTTCACCAATTGTCTTTAGTGCTTCCAGGTTTTCTATGGTGGTCTAACTTCAGTTGATTCATAATTTCAACTATGAAAATACTGAAATCTCCATAAAAACCATTTCTGATTATGTATTATTTGTTTATAAACATTATTAACTGAACTATTACCTATTCACAATTGATGGATCACTTGGGTGGTGATCAATGTTATGTGTATCAAGTCCTTCTTAGTGCAGATTGAATGTTATCGATCAAGTTGCAATGTAGTCACTAGTCTAGGGGGCTTGATACTGCGTGCCTTATGTTGAGATAAGATAGTGGTTGGAGGTGGTCAACAGGAATCCCTGGACCCGGGTTTCATGCTACTCAGTGGTAACGTTTTTAACTGTGAAGCTGAGTGACACGGGATCGAATTCGTCAGAGAGCATCAGTTCCCTCAAGATTACAGATATACCTTCCTGACGAGTGCCAAATATCACGAAACCCGGGTTCAGGGTTTGCTGTTGACTACCTCCAATCACCATCTTATCTGAACTGTACCTATGTATGCCAATATCATAAGAAATTCATGTGATAGACTACAATGCAAAATAATGCATGGATGACAGCTGACAGATACATTCTAAATGAGTTAGACAATGCTGCTTACTATCATCCCTCTTCCTTTTTCTTCTGATGGTCGACTGGATTATAAATATCTCGACATCTGACGGAAAACATGGAATACAATGGACATCTCGGAATCAACTACAAGATTTGGACTTCACAGATGGCCTAACTCTTCTATCCCATACACACAAACAAATGAAACTGAAAACAAATAGTGTAGCAACAGCCTGTGCAGCAGTAGGTATCAACATACACAAAAGAAAAAGCAAGATCTTCAAATACAATACGGAGAACACCAACTCTATCTTAATTGATTGAGAAACTGTGAGATGTGGAAAGTTTCACGTATCTGATAAGCATCATCGATGAACAAGGAGGATCTGATACAGATGTGAAGGTGAGGATTGGCAAAACAAGGACAACATGCTTACAGTTGAACAATATATGAAACACAAAACAACTATATTCAAGCCAACATCAATGTGAGAATCTTCAATAAGAACGTCGATACAGTTCTACTGTATCAAGCTGTATAGAGAGCTATCACAACCACCAGCAAAATGTTACGAGTAATTATAAACAAATGTCTACGCAAAATACTCAATGTCCATTGACCGGATATCATCAGCGACAGTCTACTGTGGGAGAGTACAAACTAACCTCTATCTGAGGAGGAAATAAAAAAAAGACGTTGGAAGTGGATCGGACATACATTAAAGAAATCATCAAACAGCGTCACGAGGCAAGCGTCTACTTGAAATGCTGAAGGGAAACGGAAAAGAGGAAAGCCGAAGAACACATTGTGTCAAGAATTTGAAGCAGACATGAAAAGGATGAATAACAACTAAGAAGGACTGGAAAGTATCGCCCAGGACAGGATTGGATGTAGAATGCTGGTGGTCGGCCTATGCTTCTCCATCAAGTTGGTAACAGGCGTACGTAAGTAAGTTAGTATGCTTCATCCCTTAAAAAAGACAAGCATTTCTTCACCAATGCTGCTCATTTATAATCTGGTTGATTTCTGATTATTCATTATTCCTTTTACTTATATAACGGCCTGTTTTTCTATTTTAAAGGTACTTTCAAGGTAGAAATCATACATAGTTCATTAAGGGTTAGTCAGTATTGTCTTCCTTTTCATTTTCAACTTAATTGATCTGTATATATATATCAACTGAAAATGTAAAAACTATTATCAGAAGGGGTTTTGTGGAGATTTAGTATTTTCATAGTTGAAAGCGTCAGTCTGGCGCGAGACTGGTAGGTCCAGGGTTCAAATCTCGCTCGCGAAGCGGGATCGTGGACGCGCACTACTGGGGAGTCCCATAATAAGACGAAACGGCCGTCAAGCAGTACTTCTAGGTTTTCTCTGGTGGTCTATCTTCAATTGATTCACTCTTTCAACTAATCGATACTTATTGATTTTTGGGATTTAGAATAGACGAACACAAATAAACGTTGATCGATCAATCATAAACTATATAGAACCTTAGACATAGGTGTAATAGTCCAAGTTGTCCCAGATCATATCGTTGCACTAAAAGATGACATGAACAAGATGATGATAAGACGAATAATAATTAAGGTGAAAGGCATATTTGTCGATTTTCATCACACTAGTCAGTACTGGATCCCCTGATGGGTAAACCATGTCCAGATCACTGAAGATGTATGGAACTGTAGTGAAGGGGAACGCAAATGGGGACAATCGAATATATTTCGACACAATTTCACAGAATATCTTACTAAAATCTGAGAACTACACATTTTGCAAAATGTCAATCAATTGTCTCACACTTGGAGATTCCTTTCTCAAATATCAGTCAATCGCCTCAGACTTCATTGTTTTTGCATTTTCATAACAATAGCTTTCTGTTCCCATCCATTTCTTCTTGATCTTCTACTGTCAGACATTCAAATCCTGACTATTATTATATACTACTCATGTCGATATAAGTAGCACATACCACAGCATAAATCAATCAGTTTATAACCAAATGATAAAACCATTATTTTAACAAAAACTGTACAATAGAAAAAGTGACAACGAAAGTTGTTTGGGTAGGTTCATAATTAGTTTAAATGTAGTAAATTACTGGAAATTTAGACAGATTCAACTGAATCAGACATTTTGAACATATTCCAAATTGACGATCTACCTACTTTAAATAGTATAAAGTTGATTGCATAACCTATTCAGTATACAATGACCCAGAGAACCGTATACCGATCGCCCCCAAATACCCTGGTACGGCCGAGAGTGGGAAGAGTACGCTCTCCCTCTCCAAATGCTTTCACATGGCCACACGTATATAGCCTCTACCAAGGAAGTCTTACTCATTGCCTTCTCGTGACGAAAAGCGAATGTCCGTCGCCTTAGCCGGGTTAATGAACACGGCGAGTCCACCTGGGGGAGTTAGAAAACCCTCATTCCAAACCAATGGTTCACATGGGCTGGTTCTAGTATCGTGAGGGAACAAATGGCGTATGAATCAATGGTTGGTCATCGGCTACCATGGGACTGCAACTCCTTACGATGCTCCATTGTCTTGTGGATTAGTCCTTTAGGTCATAGGCTCGGGAGTGTGACCCTCTAAGTAAATCACCTACTTCAGTTTGAGCACTCAGGCAATATCTCAGCCCGATTTATATTCGATAATTTCGATGTTTGATTATACTTCCATGAAAAGAATTTTAGACCAAGTTGTCAAGCAAGACATTAGATCTATTTCAAATTCATTTGTTGAGATTTACACAAATACCATTTTTCTTCTTTATTACCTAAATGTTGCATGGCAACAAAACTTCTAATTATTCATGTACATAGTGATTTATTATCTATAGTGTATTATGTAATTCCTATTACCTATAAATATCATCACACAAATTTCAAATATAATAAATAGTCATAATATAAATAAATCAACTAGCTTTCTAATATTCTGATTAGTTGCTAGGATAGTAAAGGGAGAGGGGGAGAGAGGGAGGGAGGTAGAGATGAATTCTTATATGATTATTACCATGGTATTGTTTCTTGGTCGATACTAATAATAAAATTCTAGTTGTTAACTAAGATTATGCTGATCAGTAGTTGCGTAGTAATAAATAAAACAAAATGACATTAATATAATATACGTAATCCATTTTTGATACTTCTTTAACTCTAATTGACATTTATATCTTTCGAAAGAAATTATTAATAAATATTAATATTATCAGTATAAGGGGAAACGTGAAAGAATGATGATGATTATTTAATCCTAGTATGGAATTCCTCAGAACTGCTCTTCAACAACCTGACATCAGGGAATCAAGCCTGGTATCCTACAATGTTAGATATTAACACCGATAGATGCCAGCTAATCAGTATAGAGTTTCAGGGATTGGAGGTTCTGTGTTTTGAAAATAGTTGAATTTTCGAAGTTTAAATGATGAATTGATTTTAACTAAGTCACCATTGGAAACAAGTCTATGGGTGAAACAACAAACCAGATTCCATTCAGTGGAGTAAGAAATCAGGAAGAAGTGCTGGAAGTGGATTGGGCACACATTGAGGAAATCACCCAATTGCGTGACAAGACAAGCCCTCACACGGAATCCTCAAGGTCGAAGGAGAAGAGGAAGACCAAAGAACACATTACATCGAGAAATATAGAGACATACATGAGAATAATGAACAAAAATTGGATAGAACTAGGAAAGAAGGTCCAGGACAGAGTGGGTTGGAGAATGGTGGTCGGCGGTCTATGCTCTATTGGGAGTAACAGGCGTAAGTAAGTATGGAATACCTTAGCAATGCATTCCAACAACCTCATATTGGGGAATCAAGTCTGGCATCGTACGATGTTAGATATGAACACCACCAAATACTAGCTCATTAGTCTAGAGTTTCAGGAATTGGAGGTCCTGGGTTTAATTCTCGGTTAGGGGATTGTGAATGTCTAACAATGAGGAGTTGCCTAGCAAGGAGAAACAGCTTTTAAAGCTTTCAAATTTTGGATAGTTGTCTAGTTATGATCAGTTAGTAAGTTAAACTAAGTAAATAATAATATGACAATTAGTTTCCTTCCACTTTCTATCTCTCTCTCTTAGGTATTATGCTAAACGTTGCTTCTTATCACTTATTGAAAATATGGCAAAACATATGATTTTGATAAGAGATGCCGTACTAATAGATTGTATACAATTTTTGGAACAATGTGAATGTAAGTCAAAGGATATTCAGTGTTTTTCGTGGTTAATGTTGGACCCAAGTTTCTTTCTAGTTAACATTGGTTGGCAATATGTTTCTGTAATCTTGCGATAACTGATATTTCCCATAGGGTTCGAAAGATTAGTCAGTCAGTCACAACGTAGAACTTCGTACGTACGTACATCAGTTCGAGTTGTCATTACCACATTATCACACTGATGCAGTTGTCGATTCAAATCCCATAGTGGTAGAAGTAGTAAGAGTATAAGTAGTAATTGAAAAGATTAGGGTTTGAAGATGTTATTGAAAGAGTATAATACAGTGAAATAAATTTGGAAATAGAGAAAGGATAGGGATATGAGGAATTCAGAGAATTAGAATTAGGTAGAACACAATGAGTGGAAGCACCTTCGCCACTGCAAACGATTTTGAGCCATGTCATTCAAGGTCTCTAATCATCGATTGCTATCATCTCGCGAATCCCAACCAGGTAGTCTACACCTACCAACATGGCTAAGTCCAATTGTCAGTGACTTCATGGACTTGTGCCACGTTTCGGTCTGGCCGCCCTTAGCTTTCTTCCAACCTACTCCTACTCGATAAAACATCGCACGTCAGGGCAGTCGGTGGTTGGGCATACGTAACACGTGTCCCAGCCATCTCAACTGATCAAGTTTCACTACTTCATCAATCGATTTGCCATCTTTACATAGTACCAGTTTCCTAACAACTGCATTACTTAGTTGGTTGTCCCAGGATATACGAGCAATGCTTCGAAGATACCTATGATCGAATACTAGTAGCCTACGAATATCCTCTACTCTTATCGGCCATGTTTCACTGCTATGAAGTAGGTACATTGGTTCAAAAGGTTAGAAAGACATTAGGTTAGTTATTGTTCAATGAACAATCAATAGAAATATCTCAATCCTACGAAAAGGGATTCATGGTCTGAATAGATCATATACCTGTGATATGAGTTTCAATAACTCGTCCTGAATAAGTCTCTTGAAAAATGGTAGCACACACTTTACTAATGAATGTCAACTAGTATGAAAACTGAATAACAGGACGTTTTGTCAATTGTTTTCAACTCTACAAAATAATCACTCCAGATACCATGCATTTTGACAAGTTTACACTTAAAGAATATCCTTTGATGACATTGTTTATTTCCAGAGTCAATTAAAGCTAGACCACTATGAAAAATCTGGAAGCACTGACGACCGTTTCGTCAAAGTGTGGGACTCTTCGGCAGTACGCATTCACGGTCCCTGAGTTCGAACCCCACGGGTAGAATCTTGAATGCGCACTGCTAAGGAGTCCCATATGATATTTACTGCCTATATATTAGCAATAGGTCAAGGGAAAATCCATAAAAATCAGTATTTCATTACAAGTATTTTAAAATATTCCTAAAGTTTTTTCTAACGTCTTATTTGGTTTATCAACAGCAAATCTGGTTAGAATTATTAACCAATAGAATTAATTTAGTCAAGATGGAGATGGTACCCTACACTCTCGCAATTTGAAAGATTTTGATAAGTCTTGTTGATTTGAACGCTATATTTGTTTTCCTAAGCTATTCTAGTAACCCACAGGCTAGAACTACTCAGCGACTTGAACACCAGAGGGATGACGCAAGTATAAGTGAAAAAATACTTTACTCTAAGGTTCGTTGTTGTACAGAAAATTATGGGTATTTATAGATGTTAGCGTCTGTTAAATCAACATCATATTTCAGCCAATCCGTTAACGAAATAATATGCTACCGACCAATAATAGCACACCACGTTGGAATTGTAGAATGTTCCATCATACTCTGATTGGCTAGGGCTCTTCGGCTCCTTTTGGGCCTCTGGAGGCTCCGTTGAAGTTCTCCGGAATCCGACTCAATAGATGTTAAAAGTGAGATTCAGTTGTGTTGTGCTCACTACAAAACTTTAAAGATTATGTATGAACACTATGAAGGATTTCTAAATTGTAATAACACATCTGTTCACAGTGCTTTGGATTCCATCAGTTCATTACCTACATTTATGTTGTCTTGTAACCGCTGTCTAATATCAAATGTCCAGTTACCAATCAAAATCCTCATTCTAATTCAGTACAGTATATACTCCATAGTCTAATGTCTCTGACTTGGCCAATTACACGCCCATATAGCACTACTATCCATGAGCCGGCAACTAGGTTCCTAATTGTTCACCTTTGAGTTCAGAATTAGCAACTAACCTTTACTTACTTACGCCTGTTACTCCTAATGGAGCATAGGCCGCCGACCAGCATTCTCCGATTCACTGTCCTGGGATTTCTTTTCTAGTTTTATTCAGTTTTTGTTCAACCAACATTTATGATATTTATATTTTAAATAAATATTGTTTATATACTTAACATACCAGGCCATATCACCCATAAAATTTGGAATAAAAATTGTACAGGAATAAGTCAAAAAATTGTTATGAATGTGAGGGCGGGTGGCGGAGATTGTAAGTAATCGACTGGTAACAAAATTGCAACAGTAAATTGTATAATTATAGTTGATAAGTGTAAGGATGGCTCGTTAGTAAACTCTAGGAAGCATTAAGAAGCCCAGAAAGAGCCGAAGGCATTCCATCCAATCACCACTTGTGGAACATTCTAGAATGTTGACGTGTAGCTTCCCTATTGGATGGATAAGAATGATCCCCCATGTGCCTATTGGCTGTCCGAAATGATGATTTACTTTCAGCTAAAACACAATAAATACATGAGATTTCTGTACTATATTTTGACACTGGTTTTTGGGGAATAAAAGTTCCTACTTACTAGTCTTCTATCTTCTCATTTCGCGATGTTGCGGGTTTGGATCGTTCAAGTAATCTAGTAGTACGTGGCATAGTAAGAATCAAAGCTCTAGATATAATAGTGGCAGTGTTCTTCTTTATGGCAGTGAAACATGGCCGATAAGAGTAGAGGATATTCGTAGGCTACTAGTATTCGATTATAGGTATCTTCGAAGCATTGCTCGTATATCCTGGGACAACCAACTAAGTAATGCAGTTGTAAGGAAACGGGTACTATGTAAGGATTGCAAATCGATTGATGAAGTAGTGAAACTTGATCAGTTGAGATGGCTGGGACACGTGTTACGTATGCCCAACCACCGACCGCCCCGACGTGAAATGTTTTATGGTGTAGGAGAGTAGGTTGGAAGAAAGCTATGGGTGGCCAGACCGAAACGTGGCACAAATCCATGAAGTCACTGACAATTAGACTGAGCCATGTTGATAGGCTTAGACTACCTGGTTGGGATTTGAATGAACAACTGCATCTCTGTGCTAATGTGGTATGGCAACTGGAACTGATGTACGTACGTACGTACGAAGTTCTACATTGTGACTGACGGACTGACTGAAGTCAACGGAAAACTTGTGAGAAATAGAATATATATATCTACATAGTAATCTATAACAAAGTTATCATTGATGTCAATTCTAAAAACTAGTTTCAACCTTTACATTGTCTATTCCAATATAACAATCAACTAGTTATATCTTACTATCATCATTTTCAACTCACATTGACCTTGATAGTATCTTTGTTTATATGAATATTATAGAATGAATAGTCTAATCTTTGTGTGTGTGTGTGAGGTTGATATTTGTAGATGAAGAATTTGTCACTTTACTGAAAACAGATAAAATATTACAGTGTAAATTCATTTAGTATTGTTTGTTTGAATGACGAGTCCCAAATGGGACGAAACGCGCGTCAAACTGGATTCCACTACTGGCCACTATCCATCTTTGCTTACCATGCTTGTGAATTAAGGGTATATCGAGGCAATACGCACAGTATGCACATATGGCAATATGAGACTGACCAGTTACAGTCCTAAACATCAATGGGAAGATTCAAACAAGTAATACTAAGTAAATTTGAACTTCAAACCATTGCACAAGCAAGTGGCTATTAGGACTCAATGGCCGAGTGAATAACGCGATGGCGTTTGAAGTGAAAGGTATTGGGTTCGAGTCCCAAAGTGAACATCAACTCTGAGATTGAGGTACATCCAGCTAGTGGCGAGTCCCAAATAGGACGAATCACGCGTCAAATTGGATTCCACTGCTAGCCACTATCCATCTTTGCCTACCAATCTACAACAAAGTTATAACTGATGCCAATTCTAACAACTAGTTCCAACTTTTACAACTAGTTATATCAACTAGTTATATCTTACTATCATCATTTTCAACTCACATTGACCTTGATAGTATCTTTGTTTATATGAATACTATAGAATGAATAGTCTAATCTTTGTGTGTGTGTGTGTGTGAGGTTGATATTTGTAGATGAAGAATTTGTCACTTTACTGAAAACAGATAAAATATTACAATATAAATGTTAATTGGACTTGGTATTTGTTATATCTAGAGCTTTAGATTCTTACTATGCCACGTACTACTAGACTTCTTGAGCGATCGAACCCGCAACGTCGTAAGAGAGAAGATAGAAAACGAGTAAGTAGGAACTTTTATTCCCCAAAAACCATTGTCAAAATATAGTACAGAAATCTCATGTATTTATTGTGTTTTAGCTGAAAGTAAATCATCATTACAGACAGCTAATAGGCATATACGAGGTCATTCTTATCCATCCAATAAGGAAGCTACACGTTGACATTCTAGAATGTTCGACAAGTGGTGATTGGATGGAATGTCTTCGGCTCTTTCTGGGCTTCTTGAAGGCTTACTAGAGTTTACCAACAAGCCATCCTTACAGTATTGTTGTTTACTTGAATCTTCCCACTGATATTTAGAACTTGTTGGAATATATATACATATGCCAATAGGTGACTGATGAATTTCAATCCTAAAGAACAATGAGAAGATTCAAGTTAATAACAATATCAAATGAATTTGAACTTTATCTCATTGCACATTAAAAAGCTCGTTTGGCTTATGCAAACATACGTCACTTATGGCGAAGACAAGATATCCGTCTATCAAATAAGGGACGAGTATACTGCGCAGCAGTTCGTTCTGTTATACTTTACGGCTGTGAAACATGGCCATTAAGAGTAGAAGATACTCGTAGGTTACTAGTATTTGACCACAGATGCCTTAGAAATATTGCTCGCATCTGCTGGGATAACCGGGTAAGTAATAGTGAGGTTAGACGCAGGGTATTAGGGAACGATGGTAAATCAGTTGATGAGGTGATGAATCTTCATCGACTGAGATGGTTGGGCCACGTGTTACGTATGCCTGAACACCGATTACCACGACGCGCAATGCTGACTAGTGTAGGGGATGGTTTGGAAGAGAGTTAGGGGTGGCCAAACCAAAACATGGCATCGGTGCTTGAAGTCACTAACTTCTAGTCTGAGCCATGGTGGCAGATGCAGACTACTTGGTTGAGGTCCGTGTGACTATCGTAATAAATGGTTGGAGACTCTGTGTGACATGGCTCAGAATCGATCACAATGGCGTAGGTGTATACACTCTTTATCTTCCCTTAAACCTTGAGATTAAAATCACTTCATATATGTCTTTCTTCCTATACTATATCCTTATATACAACCTTTCTTTTATATATTATCACCATTAAATTAACTATTTCTATGAATCCGGTGTTCATCTTGTTGTGCTAACGATGTATGGCAACTTGGACCGATGCATATATGTGCCTGGTCCTACGTTGTAGCTGACTGACTGACTGACATTCAGGTGGCTATCAAGAATCAGTTACTAAGTGGTTAACACAATGGCGTTTGAAGCAAACGTTACTGAGTTTGAGTCTCAGAATGAACATCAATTCTGAGATTCAGGTACATCCAGCTGATGTATCCCAAATTGGACGAAACGCGAGTTCTGAATTCCACTACTCGTTAATATCCATCTTTGCTTGTAAATGTTAATTGTCTCCATTATACCAAAGTGGTGATTTTATCTCGATGCTGTTATGAGTGGCTCTAAAGTAGGATATTTGTATGTACAATAAATAGTATCTAGTTCTTCAACTGATGTCAATTCAATATTGAAAACTATCTATTCATTCACTTAGTATTACTTGTTTGAATCTTCTTATTGATGTTTAGGACTGCAACTAGTCAGTCTCTAATTGGTATATGTGCATACTGTGCGTAGTGCCTCGATATAGCCTTATTTCACAAACATTGTACTGGATTCGAGTCCCAGAGTGAACATCAACTTTGAGATGCAGGTACATCCAGCTGACGAGTCCCAAATAGGATAAAACACGCGTCAAACTGGATTCCACTACTAACCACTATCCAACTTATCTATTCATTGTTTTAATTTATGAACTCACCCTAATAATAATTTCACTTGATTTCATTCTAGTATATGGACGTAATATAAAAGCTGTTATTGATCAACCAATTGAATCCCAAAAAATTCATCCAGGACAAAATACGATTACATATGAAGCACGTTTATTGAAATCCCTTCTATTAGAACTTATTCAAGGTTAAGATACAAGCCAAGTATTGAATATGATCATGTTTGATCCTGAAAAGAAAGTCGTCAAAATGATTCCTTACTTTTAATGAACACTTGTATAGTGTTGAGATAGTGAAGAAGAAGAAGAAGATTTGTAGCTGAGGTAGATGATTTTGATGAAATTTTGTTGTCAACCAAATTATCCAGTTCAGAGAACAAACCTTATGTAGTTGTTTACCCGGTCGAGTCTCTGTATGTGTGTGTGTGTATGTATGTATGCTAAACTTTTGATTCCCAGTGGTTCATGTATATAAATAAACAAAATTGGATTTATTTTGTTTATATTCTTTTCATGATTGTTAGTAATATCATGTATATTTATAATTTTAGTAAAAGTACTATTGCTGAAATACTCGTAATATCAGTCAGTCAGTCAGCTACAACGTAGGACCTTGATCTACGCCATTGTGATCGATTCTGAGCCATGTCACACAGAGTCTTCAATTATTGATTACGATAGTCGCGCGGACACCAGTCAAGTAGTCTGCATCTAACAACATGGCTCAGAGTAGAAGTTAGTGCTTTCAAGCACTCATGCCACGTTTTGGTTTGGCCGCTCCTACCTCTCTTTCAACCATCCCCAATAATGGTCAGCATAGTGCGTCGTGGTAATCGGTGTTCAGGTATACTTAACACGTGGCCCAACCATCTCAATCGATGAACATTCACAACCTCATCAACTAATTTAGCATCACTCCCTAATACCTTGTGCCTAACCTCACTATTACTTATCCGGTGATCTCAGCAGATACGAGCTAAAATCTGGGAGTTGGACGTAATCCCACCCAACTGGTTACAATCACTTATTGTCCCAATATATAAGAAGGGGCCAAAATCGTCCTTTGATAACCATAGAGGAATTAATCTGAGATAGCATCTGAAATACTTGCCTCAATAATCATCTTACGCCTAACTAAGACTAGTGAATTGCAAATACGAGAAAATCAGGCTGGCTTCAGACCTGGTCGTGGCTGTATCGACCACATATTCACTATTCGTCAGGTTTTAGAACACAGATTTAATACTGTTTAGGCAAAATAATTTTCATTAGAAGATATGATGTTAGCCTATATAGTCACTGAGTATTGGATGAAAGTATAATGATAAGTGTAGAATGGAGAAGAATGAACAACAATTGGATAGAACTAGAAAAGAAGGCCGAGGACAGAGTAGGTTGGAGAATGTTGGTCGGTGGCCTATGCTCCATTGGGAGTAACCGGTGTAGGTAAGTAAGTACGTGCGTATAAACCTTTTTTTTTACAGAAACAACAAGTGATTTACAACTTTTTAATTGACTTGTTTGATTTAACGAAACAAGCATTTAATTTTAATTATTATCAAAATGGAGTTTTCTAGGAATTGCAGTATTTTTTTAGTAATTGAGTTCATAAGCCAATTAAGGCTAGACCAGCATGAAAAATACCTTTGAATAGAGGCTCAATGGTCTAAAGGTTAAGTGTTTTCATGTGAGACCAAAAGTCCTGAGTTCAAGTCCCTCGAGCGGAATCTTAGCAGGTACTCTTGAAGAGTCCCATTCTAGGACGAAACAGCTGTCCAGTTTCCTCAGGTTTTTCATAATCTTCAAGTTTTAATCGACCTATCAATTCAATTACTAAAAATTTTTATTGATATGAAGTTAGGTAAAATTGTCCAATGACATATGTAGTGCAGTGAACAAGAACACTAGTTGGAGGAAAATTGAATGTATTTAATCACAAAATTACAGATTATCCCACTCAATTTTCATAACCATACAATGAACAGTTAATTTCGTCTTATTTCGGACTCATCAGCTGGATGTACCTGCATCTCAGACTTGTTAATATTCACTCTGGGACTCGAACACCATCGCGTTATCCACTTAGCTACTGAGTACTGATAGCCACCTGCTTGTGCAATGGGGTATAGATTAAATTCACTAAGTATTGTTTGTTTGAATCTTACCATTGATGTGTTAGGACTGCAACTGTTCAGTCTCTAATTGGCATATGTGCATACTGTGCATATTGTCTCGATATACCCTTAATTCACAAGCATGGTAAGCAAAAATGGATATTGGCTAGCAGTGGAATTGAGGAAGTGCATTTCGTCCTATTTGGGACTCATCAGCTGGTCAGTCGGTCTTCTGCCTTAATACATTCTATGTCTGACCATTACCATATACTATTTATATATGGATATAATTAGACTACACCACATTAGTTTCTATGTTCAAATAACTTATATAAAAAAGTATTAAGAGGGTAACAACAACAACAACGCAAATAAAAAAAAAACTAAATCCATGTCAATTGATCAATGATCAAACATTTTTCTTCGACATTCATCTGAATGTAAATTTTTTTCTGTCTTGTTGAAAAGTGTATGCAACCATAGCAACAAGGTTTAATGTTTGTATAAATGGCATATACAATGTAAGATTAGAAAGTTTTGTATCATTGGTTTGTATCGTTAAGTTACTAGATAAAATGAGGAATGACACCGCAACTAATGAATAGCTTAGATATTACTAAAAAAAATTTCAGCAGTATTTCAAATGGAATATCGTTTTTTTTGAATTAATGGAATGTCATAGTGACTACGGATAGATAGATAGATAGATGGTGTTTTTGTAAGTATTGTATGTTCATAACTTCATGTGATATTGAATCTAAGATATTCAGAGCTCATGGTAGGTACAGCAATTGTTCATTTATTTATATATTTGAACACATCAATATTGGTACAAGGGGGCACCAAATACATATGTGCCACACAAATCTCATTTGATATCTGTGAGGGATGTGATACTGCCCAGGTGCCCAAAGTGAAGTAGGTGATTTACTTAGGGGGCCACACCCGGAGAGTTTGACCGAAAGATCTGATCCACAAGGCAATGGAGCATCGTGAGGAGATGCAGTACCATAGTAGCCGGTGTGCTGTGATTGGTTCTCTCAGGATCCTGGAGCCACACCATGTGCACCATTGGTTTGGAAAGATAGCTTTACAACTCTCCTAGATGGACTTTCCGTGACCACCAACCTGGTTAAAGCGCCGGACATTCGATTTTTGTCCTCTCAATTTCGTAAGCAACACCCCGCTACGAGAAGGCAGTTAGTAGGACTTCCCTGACAGAAGCTATATACTTGTGGCCATGAGAGAGCATTTGGAGAGGGAGAGCGGACTCTCTCCACTCTCGGCCGTACCAGGGCATTTGGGGTCAAAAATTGTTGTTACTTTACAAAATAAGAAGGCCGTATCCAATTCGTTATGATTTTTATCACATGAATTATCCACCTATGGAAATACGACTTGTTTAATTATAACACTGTACCAAATTAATGACGTTCGACCAGTATGAGAAGTCTAGCGTCTTTATTAGTCCCCTGTCCGCCTAGCCCTTCCAATTGAGTCCATAAACACCAATTACAGCTTCTGTTATGCGAATCATTTATTTCAAACACACTTGGTTTATATACCAGACAAACAGACCGCATCACATCATAAAATAGAAAATAATATTTGTACAAGATCAAGTCAAATGTAACTGTGAATGTGGGAGACAATAATCAATAAACTGAATATAATTTAGGAACAGTAATTCGTACAGTAATAATTCATAAATCAAAATGAAGCTTATAATAAGATGAATATAGATATACACATTCTAATTACTCAAGAGTTAAGCAATAAAAATATGTACAGAATAATCATCCATTAATAGATCCCGGAAGTTACCTGTACTCATGTCTTCGCTAGGATATAACAGTCTGTTCCTTCTGCACTGCAATCTTGATTCCTTTGATGACCATGCTGACTTCTCCGATTGTTGATGTAGTGACCTCTATAGGAAGGTCTGTAGGCGCTGTTTCGAAACCTTATGGTTTCAGTGGGGCTGCTTTATTCCAGAGTTATTCAAGGTGTTCCACCCACCTGTTTCGATGTTCTTGAATCTCAGTGATTGGCTTGCCTTCTTTGTCCTTGACTGATCACCGTGGTTTACAATGTTTCCTAGCTAGTTTCTTCGTTGTGTCATATTTAGCTCATATTTCCTCCCCTTACAGCTTTTAATAAGATGAGTATAGATATATACAATCTAATTACTCAATAGTTAGACAATAAAAATATATACAGAATAATCATCCATTAATAGATCCCGGAAGTTACCTGTACTCATGTATTATCTAGGATATAACAAAGATAACTCTGATCCACCGACTGTTAGAACATACACAACTACCTCAATCAGTGAATTAACATCATCAGGACAAGAGACATATATTCTATGGTTGTTTACAGAATAATATGTTTTAAAACTAAGCTTACTTACGTCTGTTACCGCTGATGGAAGAGTATAGATCACTCACCAGCACTTTCCATCCAACCCTGTCCTCTACAAACTTTTCCACTTGTTTCCAGTTGTTGTTCATCCTTTTCATGTCCGTTTCAAATTCTCGACACAATGTGTTCGTCGGCCTTCGTCTTTTTTGTTTCCCTTTAGGATTTCAAGTTAGTGCTTGCTTAGTGATGAAGTTTGGTGATTTCCATAATGTATATCCTATCTATCTCCAACATCTTTTCTTAATATCCTCTTCAGTTGGAAGTTAGTTTGTTCTCTCCCACAGTAGGCTGTTTCTGATGGTATCCGACCAAGGGAAATTGAGTATCATGTTTAGACAATTGTTTATAAATCCTTGTAACTTTTTTGATGATAGTTGTGATAGTTCTTCAAGTTTCAGCTCCGTACATCAGAACTGTCTAGGGCTACTACCGGTCCCCAGCCTGGGTAAATGAGTAGGGTTAAACATGGGGTCAAAAACCTCATCCTGAAAAAAAACACCCTTGTTAAAAAAACGTTAACCAGATAAAACAAATTAAACTATTTAAAAATAATATCATAGGAATTATTACTTACCTACTTACGGCTGTTACTCTCGATGAAGCATAGGCCGAAGACCAGCATTCTCCAACCCACTCTGTTCTGGGCCTTCCTTTCTAGTTCTATCCAATTGTTGTTCATTCTTCTCATGTCTGTCTCCATTTCTTGGCGTAATATGTTCTTTGTCCTCCTCTTTTCCTTTGGCCTTGAGGATTCCAAATGAGGTCTTGTATTGTGACGCAGTTTGGTACTTTCCTCAATGTATGCCCTACCCACTTCCAGCGCCTCTTCCTGATTTCTCCTTCCTCTGGAATCTGGTTTGTTGTCTCCCACAGTAACTTGTTGCTGATAGTGTCTTGTCAACGGATCCAAAGTATCTTGCGTAGACAGCTGTTAATAAACACTTGTATCTTCTGGATGATGACTTTCGTAGTTCTCTACGTCTCCGTCCCATACAGTAGGACTGTCATGACATTTGTATTAAAAATTCTGATGTTGATGTTGGTTGATAGTTGTTCTGAGTTGCAGATGTTCTTCAGTTGTAAATATGCTGCTCTCGCCTTGCCGATCCACAGTGTCACATCTGCATCAGATATCATAGGAATTATTATATTCTATCTAATGTTATGTATATACAACTTGTCAATCTTATTTTAAATAACTGACTAGATAATTGACATTTGACTAATGAAACCTTGGATCCCTTATTGTACACATTCATTGTCCAAGTATTATGTCATAATAGGGATGACATTTAATTAAACACATCTGAAAATTAGCATAAATTATGTATGTATATACGTGTCATTGTCAATGTCATTTAACCTATTAGCCTATATTTCTTTTATAGATATGAATTAGCCTTGACATATATGATTAATAACAACAATATAGTTTGTATATGTTTACATTCTAAACAAATTGATACGGATCAATGTTAGATCATCATTGAAAATTTGGAAGTAGTGAATAGCTGTTTCGTCTTAGTGCGCGACTCCTGAGAAGTGTATGACGATGACCCGACCGTTGCTGCTACCTTGAAGTGGTGGTCGGGCTTGCCTATCGTGATGAAGCAATCGAGCTATACTGGCTGGAAAAATCGTTCCTCAAGGTCCTACCATGCCAGACAGGTCGGTTGAAGAGCGGTGAGACTAACCCAAGGTCCGAAGGCGAAGTCGTACTGTTGACTGTACAGAGGTGTGACAGCAGTAAGGTATTTCCTTCAGACAACCAGCATGACAGCGATGCTGCCTTCCCATAAGGAGGGGTGGGGTTAGAAAAGTTCGACCCTAAAAATGCACATCTCGCCTTATCCCACGGATATCCGTCTCCGGTGGTAAGGTTCCAACAAGTATGGAGCTAGCACAAAAACTACACACAAAAAGTCGTGTGTGACCGACCTCAAGCAGTTGTCTTTTTGGCACTGCGGTCACGCTCTCAGGTCATTAAGACTACTTCTAACCCAATTTCCTTTTCAGGTACCTCTAGAAGAACCCTTCCACGGTGTGGGCAACCGGGAAGTGATAACTGCCCTCATACCTCTAACAGCTTAAGATCACTGCACGTCGATGAACTGAACATGACATTCAAACCCAGGAACTTTAGTTACATGTGAAAGTTTGAATGATAGTCTTTGATTGATCGGTATATCATCCTAATAAAGTCCCAACAATCTCCAAAACCCTGTATTGATAATCATCATGTGCTTAATAGCAAATAGCTTCCAGAAGTATTTCTCTAGGTTCTAATGAGAAGCTGCGACCAGTTGAGTTCAACTGTATCGAGTGTGAGGCAGTTATCCACTGAAGATAATAGAAAAGTGTTAGAGTAATATCTTGGACTGATTAGAGTCAGACGTTAACACTAGTCAATGTCGGCTCAATGGTATCGAGGTTAAGTGTTCGAGAGAGACCAAGGATCCTAGGTTCCAGTTTCACGTGTGAGATCGTGGATGCGCACTACTGAGGAATTCTATACTAGATTTCCAATATTGGTCTAAGACTGATCAGTTCATGGTCTCAACCAAAGCTCAACAATCTCCACAACTCTATAATGAAAATATTTATTAGTTCAAAGGGGATTTATGGAGATTGTGGAATTTCCATAGATTAAATCAGAAACTGATCTTAGTTAAACCTCTGATCGAAATGTGGAAGCAATTGATGGCTATTAAATATTAGTATGGGACTCTCGAGCAATACACATTCACAAACCCTTTCCCGTGAATCGAACCTAAGACCCTCCTCCTCTCGCGCGAACTACAAACTTTAATCCCCTGATCCAGTACACAATGCTGCACATGTCTAACCTCAATCAACTTACTATATTTCGCAATCTTCATCCATTGCCTGCCGTGAGTAATTATCTCAAACACGACATAATTGAATGCCGTTTGTCACGGATTCTCACTGACATAATGAAAGGGTATGAAATCAACCAGCTTGAAAGAGCAGTTAGTTCTATGAAGATGTTTATTTAGTTAGAATCTTACAAGTATGGTTATAAAATGTCGAAAACATTAGGTGTGCATTAGCAACCAACTTCAAGAGGAAATTGCTGGAATTCTAATAAGAAGCCGTAACCACTGAAAATTCATAAGTGTCGTTTATGAAGGTACATACTATAAGTCTCTCATCCTTTCTCTTCTGTTGATCGACTGGATTATGAAGACGTCAACATCTGGAGGGAAGCATGGGATACAATGGACAGGTAGGATGCAGTTAGACGATCTAGACTTCACAGATGATCTGTCTCTTCTATTGCACACGCAACAACAAATGCAGAAGACGACCAGTGTAGCAGCAGCCTCAGCAGCAGTAGATCTCAATGCATACAAAGGGAAAAGCAAGACTCCGATACAACAAAACATGCATCGGTCGAATCACATTTCAAAGAGAAGCTTTGGAGGATGTAAAAGCCTTTACATATCTAGGCAGCATCATTGATGAACACAGTGAGTCTGATGCAGATGTAAAGACGCGGATAGAGAAAGCAAGAACAGTATATTTACAACTGAAGAGTATCTGGAACTCAAAACAATTGCCAACCAACAACAAGATCAGAATTTTCAATACAAATGTCAAGACAGTTCTACTGTATGGGGCAGAGACAAGGAAAACTACGAAAGTCATCATCCAGAAGATACAATTGTTTATTAACAGTTGGCCAGATACTATCAGCAACAACCTCTTTGGGAGACAACAAACCAGATTCCAGTGAAGAAAGAAATCAGAAAGATATATCCTTATTTCAAAAGCATTGTACTGGGTTCGAGTCCCAGAGTGAATATCAATTCTGAGATGCAGGTACATCCAGCTAGTGACGAGTTCCAAATAGGACGAAGTGACTCTCGTCAAACTGGATTCCACTGCTAGCCACTATCCATCTTTGCTTACATATTATATAAATGTCTACTACTGAAAAATATTGAATAAATTACATGAATGAAATTACATTTAACTTTACCTAGAATTTCAGAAATAAATTCCTTTCAGTGTATTTGTACATGATACAGTGGTAAAACGATGTATGCTACTGATGTATGTACATAAGTAGCTATGTATGTATGTGTATATATTTGTTCAACGCATATATATATATATATATATATATATATATATATATATATATATATATAGAACTTAGCATGTATAAGCCACCCCCCTCACCCCCGGCAATTTGTACATCAGCAATCCGACAAACGATATATACATCTCCCCATATAGTAACAACTATCCTATGTCTAGGCTTTCCTCTAATCATTATCAAATAAGAATCATCATCATCATCATAAAAAAAACACAAAAAATTAACCTATTGGATGGTAACATTTTATCCAGTGAAAATTCTAGAATCTATCAAGGTCATTCAATGTATTCCCCGTGAGTCAGGATATAAAATCTATTTATTTAACATAAAAACTGATAATGCTTAACATTATTTATCCGTTGGCATGGCAACTATTATTATACTTATATCAAAGATGTATGATTACATATGAATTTAATGATATTATATTTATATAGTATTATTCAATTAGTAATGTTATGTATCTATATAAGTAGTATAGAAATAAATGTGAAAAAATTAAACCATCTTGATAATGTAACAAACAATAATAATGATGATCTTGATCATGATCATGATCCAATGAAGAATGGTATCAATGATATTATGAAAGTCATAGAAATATTGAATCAACTTTCTATGAAAGAATATACATCTATGGATGATCCTAATGATGAAGAACAAAAAGATGGTGACGATAATACTGTGGAACTTCTTCGTTATCCACGTTCAATTACATTCATTTCATCATCATCAACATCAACATCTAAATTCAATTCTGAATATCAAGATATACCATGTCATTTTCAATGTATCCTAAGGTCGAAAAGGAATCATCAAGAAATCAGAAAAATTTCTAAAACTACATTACATTTACCAAATAAAAAGACTGCTATATTAGATTGTTACAATTCTACGACAACGACGATGGCGACGTCGATGATGACGACTACTTCGTCACCATTATTGAATATTGAATGGAAACAATCAATCATAAGTCAATGTGTTCGACATTTTACCAAACGTTTATTACATCTTATCATTGGAACCTTATCGAACGATTCAAATATGGTGGAGTGGTTTATATTCACTTCCAATCAATTCAGTAGCAGTATATACGATGCTATTCAAGCATATATTCAATCAACAACCGATCTATATATCACCTTTACAATACCAATCTATCGTTTAGATAGAAATGACTTCAATAGATTATCACCATGGTTAAGATATATCTCCATAGATGGTAAACAATTACGTTATATAGATGTTATGGTTATAGCTAATTTAACATTAGATTATTTTATATTACAAGATTGTATTCGAAAGGATGAAATTATAATGAATCCCTTAGTAACAACATTACCCGATTCACGTATTGAATTATATAATAAACATCTGGATTGTTTAGTTTATTGGATTTATTCATGTCCAAATTATTCATCATTTATATTAATAGCTGATCTGAAGACTCAGCGAAGATACTGTAGAATATTCAATACTGTTGAACCATCCATGGGAGGATCGTCGTCTACCATAGAAGTAAGTACGATGCAACCATTAGTGAATAATTTACGAGCTAAACGATCATTAAAACGTAATAAACCTAAATGGTCAATATTACATCAGTCTAATGAAGAAACACCACCATCACTACCACCACCACCAACAACAACAACAACAACAAGAATGTCAACATTGAAAAGATCTTCCATGGAACCTTCAGTCAGTCGTAGTCCATCGGAATCATCAGAATCTAAGATGGTCAATCATTCAAATGCATCTACAATGAACAATCAAGCCTTATTATCACCTATTAAAGATTGTACTTCAATAGGGAGGGATTTACAACAATATCTAAATGATCATTGTGAACAAAAACTAACATGGTTAACCAATATCATCACAATACTACTTATTATTTTATTAGTAGTCATAATCATACTATTTGGATTATTATTTATATTTAGTTATTTTATAAAACAATATTTATTATTACAACGTGAAAATAAAATAAGATGAATTTCAACTGGTGAATGGTCTTTTACTCCTCGTCGAGGAGTAACAGGCGTAAGGTAACTGAATGGAAAAAAAAACAAAAAAAAGAAGAACATTGTACAGTTTCTATGACATATTTAAATGAATATCGGTGAGATTATAAATTATGGATGAACTTTGAGTGACGTTAGTGTGACATTCAGGGTGTCCACCTAGTAACTAAAATCAAATAAGAGTTATCATAAATTGACAACAACGATATTGTCAGAAGGCGTAGGACAGAGTTGAAGAATGCTGGTGAGCGGCCTATGCTCCTCGACGAGAGGTAAGTAAATAAGTAATATTGTCAAAATTCTATATAGCCAAATGGATTAAATGAAGTTCGCGCCAAAATTTGAGATCTATTGTCCACTTATACTTGATAGGTTTATCCATAAATTAGAGTCTCACTTGAACATCTTTCTATATTTACAAATGAATGTAATTATATTTTTATTTTTAATCCATGGTTTGAGAGTGTTTTAATCGATCTTTTTGTTAAATATAATCTACATATATGGCTACTCATGAGTAGTATTCGCATTGATGATTAATTAATTAAGGGATTCACGAGTAGGTGGAAGCTACACAATCATGGAGAACCTGGAAGTACCAGATAGTTGTAGAATTGAACTGTATCGGTTATAGAGGCGGTAAAGCACTGAAAACATTGGTGGACGGCCACTCGGTATCATGGATTGGTTAAAGTTAGACAGTAATACCATTAGATTACGGCCGGCTTAACGGTCTAGAGGTGAAGCGTCCGACTGCGAGACCGAAGGTCTTACGTTTCAGCTCCTTGTGTGAAATCGTAGGTGCGCACTGTTGAGGAGTCCCATACTGAGACGAAACAGCCGTCTAGTGCTTTCTGGTTGTCTATGGTTGTCTGGCTTTAATCGACTCATGAACTCGACTATTAAAAATTTCTACCATATCTACAAAACCCTATTCTCATTATTAAAGAATGTTCGTGCAATAATCCAGTGAGTTACTTATATGAAATAATTACCATGGTTACTTATGTATTTGTTAGGGACGTTAGATCCCCAGAACTCACTTGCTAAGGGTCCTAATGTTGTAGTTATATTCTGAAAATTTAAATTTTATGTTTTCGTGCCAAAAGACGCTTAGTTGACCTACATCCCTCATTTCCAACTCGGAACTCCTTGACTGTCATTAATTGACGGATTTTTTTAGTCCGCTATTTTGTAGCTCTTCTAAGGGCGTTTCTATGATTGTATAAATAAGCTTGATTTGTGTGTTTGAGACAAGTCAGGTAATTACGAAATTTCTGACAGTTTATAGAACTACGCCTAACCATATCGTCCTAGATGGAAAATTCCCTGTTTAAGCGATGTTCGGGAGAAGTATTCGAACTACATTCGACACCATGTTGCCATCTAGACCAATGGTTGGACGCAGATAAAATTAGAATATCCGTAGTTTGAATGTCGGTGATAAAGTGCTCGTCAAGTTATACAACGGAAAATGTCGTTGGAAACCTATGAAGTAAAGTGTTTCCCGAATATTTTGTGCCCTTTTTTCTGGTGCTCAAGTCGCTATGTAGTTATAGCTGAGGGGTACAAGACTAGCTTAGCATCCGAATATATCGTTCAATCAACAACACGTATCAAGGACCTTGAATTTTCTGAGTAGTCGTAGAATACACTCTATACACGTCATCAAGACTTTTTGATATAATTAGCAGGGCCGGGGACAATGGATTAGAATAGCCTATCGTGTCACCTTCGTTCCGTTTAGCGAGTAAGGTGAACATGATATGCTGATACAAGTTTGAATTCGATAGTAAGAACCAAGTACTTGTCAATGAGTCTTAAACATTAGTCAATCTTACGTAGATAGGAAGAAGTAGTTCATCTAAACCTTTTAGTTAAGTATAATTGACAACAAGATAATGCTAAAAATCTGAAGGAAACTAATATCATCTTTAGGGGGTTCGGATCTGAGTCACTTTCTACAATACTGGTTCACTCCCATGTTGATAAACTTCAATCAATAATTAGTAGTTCCATTTTGATTATCAAGGAACAAAACAAAGGAGGTATAATGTGAAATTACTAACGGTTCACATACTGTTTGATAAATGGATTTTAGTTAGGATTAAGCACTTGACAAAATGACATTGGTCGTTATTGCTCAACCAATTCTGAAGGTCAAAGGAGAAGAGGAAGATCAAAGAACACATTACGACGAGAAATGGAGATAGACATGAGAAGAATGAACAAAAACTAGATAGAACTAGAAAAGAAGGCCCAGGACAGAGTGGGTTGGAGAATGCTGGTGGGCGGCCTATGCTCCATTGGGGGTAACAGGCGTAAGTAAGTAAATTAAGCTCAACCATCAGTTATCGTATGTATCCGGGGTTTACAGGTGATTCATACTATCTATTGACATTCAATAACAGGCATTTAACTTTACTAGATTTCGAAAGACCTTTAATTGAGTTGTGCTATACACAAACAAACAAGCACACACACACAGTTACTAATGTTCAAGACGGTAATCAGAATTACTCGCTTATCAGCATAACACAGGTCAGCATTACAATTTATTCATTTGAATGTACTGAAGTCTTATTTTCGACAGTTATTTATTATAGATCAAAAGAGGTTTTGTGGAGATTTCAGTATTTTCATGGTTGAAATCATGAGTCAATTGAAGTTAGACCATCATGGAAAACCTGGAAACACTGGACGGTCATTTCATCCTATTATGGGACTCCTAAGCAGTGAGCATCCACGATCCAGCACTCGCGAGCGAGATTCAAACCCAACACCTACCAGTCTCGTGCCGGAGCACTTAACCGATAGACCAATGAGCCTGTATTCAACGGTATTAATGTCTAACTTCAACCGTCCAGTGCTTCCAGGTTTTCGATGGTGGTCTAGCTTCAATTGACTCATGATCTCAGCTCTATAAAATACTATCTTATCAAACGAAACGAAAGTTGACAACTACAATTTGTTTGCAAATAGATGATGCATTAACCAAGTAACTTGACCTTTTTGATTGATTATTTAAAAGAATTATGAATTGATATTATGAATGAATCGACGTTTGACTAAGATTGAAAAACTCGAAGTACTGAACAGATGATGGTGAGTTCCATACCAGGATGAAACATCTATTCAGTACTTCCTAATTTCTAGGTTATAAGTTCAATCACTGTGAAGGTCATGAATATACACTGCTGAGTCTGTCCATACTAAGATGAAACATCTGTTCAGTACTTCGTAAGTTCTAGGTCTAATCACTGTGAAGGTCATGAATGTACACTGCTGAATTTGCCCATATTAGGATGAAACATCTGTTCAGTGCTTCCTACTTTTAGATGGATCATACTACAATTGTTTTGTGATGTAATATGTAAAATGATATAGTGTATAACTGATCGAATGATATGTGATGATCACTTCAAAAACAGAATAACATAATCTGACTTCAGACTACATGGGAAGACGAATCAGTATAATGAATAAGATACTCTCCACTGCGTCGACCAACTATCTAACTTACAGATTTCTAGTTAAGCTCAATTAAAATGACTCATAGAACTACTTACTTACTTACGCCTGTATGAATGGTGACCTTTGAGGACTATTTGTGGACCAATGTGATGTGTATATTTCCTATTGTATAATTGTTAAGTAACTAAAATATTCATATTCGTGTCCCTCTTATTATAAGCTTCATTTTGGTACGATGTGGTCTGTTTGGTTGATATATAAACTCAGTATGTTTGAAATATAACGATTCATGCCGCAGAGGCTGTTCTGGACTTAAGTGGCTGGGTTAGGCAGAAGCAGGAACAATAAGTCCTTTAGATTGCTCATACGGTTTCCGTGTGTCATTGTTACGATCGACAATTCTCGGCTCTCTGATTGGTGGTCATATCACTTCATACGTTAACAAGGCATCCATTCGGACACAGGTTATAATAGAGTCCTGTCCCCAATTTCTACCCTAATGTATTCTTTGTCCTGTCTCTTTTCACTTTACCTTATGGATTTCAAGTCCGACTTGTTTTGTAATGCCATTTGGTAGTTTCCTCAATGTATGCCCTATCCATTTCCAACGTCTTTTCCTAATTTCTTCCTCAGATAGAAGCTGGTTTGTTCTCTTTCACAGCAGGCTCTCGTTGATGGTTTCCGGCCAACGAAACTTTCATTATATTGCGTTGACAACTGTTTATAAATACTTGTACTATTTTAATGATGGTTGTAGTAGTTCCCCACGTTTCAACTCTGTATAGTTGAACTGTGTTGACTTTTGTATTAAAAATATTCTCACTTTCATGTCGAATTGAAGAGAGTTGTCTTGAGTTGTATATGTTCTTCAATTGTAGGAATGATCCCCTTGCTTCCCCAACCCGTGCTTTTACACCTGCATCAGATCCTCCGATTTTATCTATGATACTTCCCAGATAAGTGAAACTTTCCACCTGTTCCAGAGCTTCTGCGCTGAATCGGTGCACGTTGCGTTGTGGTCCAAATTCTTGTTGTTTTTTGTTTGTGTATTTTGAAGCCTTTTGCTTCACTGTTTATCTTGACCTGCATTTATCGGTATGTATGGGATAGAAGAGCTAAATCGTTTTCAAAGTCAAAATCGTCTAGTTGCATCCGAGCAGTTCATTGTATTCCGTGATTCCTCTGATATGTGAAGGTCTTCACTATGCCGTCAACTACCTGAAGAGGAAAAGGAACTATAAGCAGCCTTGTCAGACACCGGTCCTCAATTAAAATGTATCTATCAGCTATCCTCCATGCACGACTTTGCAGTGTAGTTCATTGCAAGAATTCCTCATGATGTTGTCGATGTTTCCTGTTAAATAATATTCAATACAAAATAAATGTGATTAGAAGTCATTGGAAACATTATAAATTGAAAGATACAAATTTCTCAACCTATTCAAATAATAACGACATTAGGATATAATTATCAGGTCTTATACTTACCCAACAGTT